AGAAACATCAAACTCGATGAATTTTACATCTCAACGAAGAGCATGGATATAGTGTGGGTATAGAAATTAGTCCAAATTCTGGTAAAATTAAAATGTAAACTTCAGGATGTCCAAAAAGTCAAAATAAATGTTGATAAAGAAAAGAGTCACCCCCACCAGCAGGCTCAAAATATATGTATCTAGATTTCGATCTGTTAATAATATTGTAATTGTTCTAGCTAATACTGGTACAGATAGTAGTAATAAAACTGCTGTACATACAACCGCCCATACAAATAGTGGTATCCGATCAAAAGTTGTCCATAAAAAAAAGAAAGTCTTGGATCTGCTGTTCAAAAAAGTTTTAAGACAACTTATTAATTAAACTGCTCTTTAGATATTGCGGAGCATTAATATTCGTTTTACTCCAAGTTTTACTAGAATATATTCCTGCATGATAATTCCAGATGCTGTTACTTTGCTTTTCTGATTACGTAGTTAAGGTATTTTATTTCTGTTTCTTCATTTCATTTTTCCGATCTGTTTCTGATAGCCTTCTTGAAATTTCTTCACTTGGAACTCTATACGTGTAAGATATTTTCGACGTCTTCCGTAAAGTCACATCCAGAAAATGTCTACTTGTCTCGTCATCGTCAAAAAGGCTAGAAAGTAATATTTATAGTCCAAAAACATTATAATCAGTGTAAGTTTCCTATTAAAACATGTATTTGACATTAATGTTTATGTCGAAAACCTATATATTACACTGTCATTTGTCAATTTGTCTCTAAATCCGCGTGTCTCGAACTTTTTGTAGCTAATCTTTGATTTTTCCTCGTATGTCACTTTCTCTGCATGTTAGTAGCGTTTTTGTGCTGCATATTCATCTGCAGATCACAATTTATATAATTTGAATGACAATGTCCCGTCTTTTGTCTGGTTACGAACACTGATAGGTGACAGGTATTTCTGCGAAACGTTGGTTTAAAGTAAAGATTTTCTTCGAGTTTCTCTGAGAAGTTGTCAGAATGATGCAGTTTTAATATAATATTTTATTCTTTAAGAATTGTCAAAAAAAGTATATTTGTTCTGTGAGCCTTTAACTGACAACATTTGAGTTAGTCAACTCAGTCAACTGTTTGAATCAGTTCGATCTGTAAGAAATGTATAGATTGAATTTTAGATAAATACATGTGAATTACTTACGGAAATTTGTTTATTTTTTATTTTATTGTTTAAACGTGTTTTAAGTACTTTTATTTTTTTGTATGTGACGTTTGGTGATGTCCAAACGTTTAATCTTTATAAAAAGTATTTGAAAGATATCGAAAATATATTTGATTATCTCTTAATACGAGCTTTAAAATTTTTTTAAGTACAATTTACGTTTCACTATTACATTGTAAATATCATACTTTATTCTGACAAGCACACAACCTATACTATGTAATCAATTAATATTTAAAAATAAATAGATTCTACTCGATTTCATTTTTTTTTTGTTCCTTTTTGTTTACTTAAAGTCACACGCTGGTTTGATGAAAATAAACAATATAATAATCTAATAAAGATCGCATCTACATAAATAAGGATCTGACAGTAAAAGAAAAAGAAATACAGATAGAAATAGTTAAAATAGCAAAGAAAGAAAAAAGTAAAGGAAAACAGACAAAAATAGGCTATAAAAAGTTGTTCGAGTATGGAAAAGAATGGATATGGGATGAAGAAAAACAACAGAAAGAAAATTCCAAAGAAAAATTACCAAAAAAACTAGTAGAAGACAAACAACCGGTTAGATATGATACCGAAACGGCAAGGCAAAAAAATACGATTATCAAAAACGGAAAAATAAACACAAAAGAAAGCAACAATCCAAGGATATAATAAAAATTGGACTTGGAATGCGAGAGGTGCTTATGAGCAGGGAGCTTCAAGACACTTTAAGACCAAATTATGGAAAAATACACAATATATAATTATATCCTTGCCTTGCAAGAAACGAAACAACTGGGAAGTGAAATAATAAAGATAGGAAAGAGCACACTGTTCAAGAGTGAGGGACCAAGAGATATTTTGGAGTGGGATTCATGGTATTGGAGAAAGTAAACAAAGCAGTTGTAAATTTTCAACCAATATCTAATTTTAGAATGTGCACATGGAATGTTAGAAGTCTATTTGCGGCTGAGAAACTTGACAACGCAATTCAAGAAATGAAAAGAATGAAAATAGACCTACTGGGAATCAGCGAAATGAGATGCAGAGTCAGGATCATGTAAAAAGGACGGAAGTATATTATATTATTCCGGTAACAGCACAGAAGATCCGCATCACAAAAATGGTGTAGGTATATTAGTAACATCAGAACTGAGTAAATATGTGACCAATTTCGTACCAGTCTCTGATAGAATAATATTACTCCAAATAAATACTCAACCATTTAAAACTAACATACTTCAAATCTATGCTACGACTGCAGATAGAAAATATGACGATGAAGTCAAGAACTTGTATGATCAGATCCAAGACATCTTACAGAAACTTAATAAACACGAAATTTTATATATTATAGGCGACTTCAATGCAAAAATTGGGGAAGGTCGACGAGGTCAGACTGTAGGTCCTTATGGCTTAGGACAACCTAACGATGGAGAACAGAGATTGTATGAATTCTGTGAAGAAAACGATATGATCATTGCAAACACCTGGTATAAAATACCCAAGCTACGACTATACACTTGGAAAGCCCCTTTGATGAGGGCAATAACCCTGAGTAAATGCCGTCAAAAAAGTCACTACATATCCTGGGGCAGATATTGGATCTGATCATCAAGCACTCGTAGCAGATATTAAACTAAGGTTAAAACGAATTCAGCGACAAAAACCAATGAACGTAACTGTGATGATATAAACATAAAACATAACATTAAAAAAGAATTTAATAATAGAATACAAAACATCGAAGAACAACTAGAAGATCCAGAAGAACTATGAAGTGAATTTAAAAACCAAGTTAACGAAATCTCCACAGCCAGAAACTCCACAAACAATGATTATAGAAAAAACTTAATCAAGAAAAATAACTGGATGACAGACGACATCTTGAAATTAATGGAACAACGTCGACTGATAAAATCTAATGTAACAGAATATAGACACCTGTAGAGAAGAATAAAAAAGGAGATCAAATTAGCCAAAGAAAAATAGATGAGAAAAAGGTGCGACGAAATGAAGGATGTAATATCTAAACACGACTTATTTAATGTGCACAAAAAACTGAAAGAAATGTGTAATATATTTAAAAAACGAGTTCCCTCTGTACTTGTTGACACTAATAACAAAATTATTGTAAATGAGCATGAAATAAGAAAATAATGGTAGCTGTATATATCAGAGTTGTTTGAAGATGACAGGAATAATATTGACGAATTCTACCAAAACTGTACTGACGGCCCAGAAATTATGAAATGCGAAGTAGAACATGCTATAAATAATACTACAATTAGAAAAGCTTGTGGTCCAGATGATACACCAAATGAGTTGCTGAAACTAATAGAGAATGATAACATAAAAGTAGTAGCAAGACTTTTTAATTCAGTATGTAACACCGGAGTGATTCCCGCAGATTGACTCAAATCCATCTTTATCGCAATACCTAAAAAACAATGCGAGAAAATGCTTAGAATATCGATTAACTAGCCTAATGAGCTACACTCTTAAAATTTTCCTCAGAATACTTTACAACAGAATTAGACGCAAATGCGAAGAAGATCTTGAAGATATCCAATTTGGATTTAAAAATGCTATGAACCAGGGAAGCACTTTTTGCGCTTAACATCCTATTACAAAAATGCCGTTACCAAAGAAAAGATGTATCTGCATGTTTCGTGGACTTCGAAAAGGCATTCGATAAAGTATAAAGGTCATATTTTATTTCTTCGATAAATTGAGATTAATTCATATATATCAATAAATGGATTTTTTTTATAATTTATATTTGAACATAATTTTATCATTACATATTTTTTATGAGATTAATATAGTGTTTCAGTTAATCAGTAAATTAAAGTTAAAATCAGTAGGTCTACTAAAAAATTAGTAGCCCTGGTAACCCTGCGAGATGTAGTAATGGGCAACGCATAGCACACAAACATGGCGGTCACATCGAAGCTGGACTCACTTTGCAAAAATTTCTTAAATGAACATTACCTCTCCTCTCTCTTTCCTTGTCAAAGATAAAAACCGTGAACAAATCATGAACCGTGAACCATTTGCACTGTCCTTCTATAGGCGTCTATATTCTTTGGTTGATGGTTGACTTACTTCGCCTCGATCTAGAAATCAACAGCATGTTTGTGGTTTAAAAAAATTTGAAGGGGGTGTTTCAACCTCTCTTAATATCAAATTCTTATTGTTTTATGTATTTTTTTATTATATTTTGTGTAAAGTGTGTTAATGTAGATTATATGCTTGTGTTCTGTGTGTTGCATATGTATTGTGTGCAGATGGTAGGTATGTTATGACTTTCTATTAATCTGGTATTGTTAGTATGATCTTTTTATTAACTTCTTCTTTTAGTATTGTATTGTACATTTTTGTTGATTAAGTAGGATGATAGCTACTTCATTGGCGTTTCTCTTTTTCATGTTTGTTTCTTTCATGATTATTAATGTATCTTTCCTTTGTACTTTGTGCTCGTTGTCCCCGGTAATTTGCATGTCTGTTATTTGCCGAAGTATTTGTTTTTGATGATTGTTTTGTGTTCATTAAATCCTGACGCTTAGTGATCTTGCGGTTTCTCCGTAACAGAAATTGTTACATTCACAGGGTATTTTATAGATGTAGTTCTTTGATCTTTCTTGTGTGTTGTTTGGACAGTATAGATCTCAGTGTGTTGGCCGTTTTTAATGTGATGTTGTACTTATTTCTTATACTTTTATATTTTTTTGGTTTACAATACCGAAGTTTTTTATTGTACCATATAAACAAATAAATAAAATATAAAATAAAAAATAAGCACATTTTTAAAAACAATTATTTCTATCTAAATTTTTATTTCGTCACACGTACATTTATAATAATGTAAAAAAATCGTAAAAAATACAAAATATATTATTAATGTAACATATAAATACTTAAAAAACAATAAATGGTCGTTGTCTATACTTATCAAGGACTTCTCTCACTTTAGTGTAATGCTTCGGACTTTCTTTTATTTTCAAAGTGTTGCTTATATCAACATATTGCAGCGTGTTTTCGTTAAATCGTGGCCAAATAATATTATCCAATAAATCATCTGCTGCAGGAGTAGGGTTTCTGAAAAATTAGTAAATAGTTAGATATTAGTTAATAACGTGAAATAGTGTTGGCATACGACTAAGACCAACTTTCAAATACATTACAAATTACTTTGTAACATTAGTTAAGAAAGAAAAACTGGAAAATAATTGGAATGATAAAATAAATAAAAGTTTGTCCTGTTAAGGGTACAAGGGATTGGCATTGGACCAAACATAAAACTTCCTGAGGTCTATCTGTTATAAATCAATAATAATGCCGATTGGTTTATCTCCAGAATTGGTATCTTCCATCTAGAATTTTGGAACCCTGTACCTAGCTTCTACAGGTCTAGTAAATCAGCTTTTTTGTGACAAATTTTGCAGCGCAGGTTTCGGTTTCCCTTCAATTGCGCATGCCCAGTAAGGAAAAGCATTTGAATAAACAAGTGTAAGACCTAAAATTGTATGGATTTACAACAAATATATAGATACAACATAGTTTCCAAATACAAAGAAAAGACTATGCCCTATACTAAATAGAATAAATAGCGATAAATAAAGATAAATAGATATATCAAAGGATACTGATCAGTAAGTAAAACATGATCATGAAGCATTATTCTAGTTTAATAAATAAAACTAAATACTTACTGATATTTAACAAAATTTGTAATTATTGTGAGCATGCGTTTCATTGTTAATATGTCCGATTCAGGATAATTACTGAGATCATCCATAACTCTTCCGCGTCCACCATATATGTAGGCTAATTCTTCACCATGGCCAACATTTCCTATGCCTGTAAAAATAATTCAATTTATAATTGAGAACGTTCAATATTTAGGTACAAATGAACATCTGCAAGTAACAATTAAAATTTTTTGAGGAAGTAGACTGTCGAATTTTAATCCGAGCAACGTGAGCTGATCGAAATCATTAAAAAGTGGAATACTGCACATTTTGGTTATGCAATGAGACATAATAGAAACGTTCTTCAACGCATAAGGGAGAGTAAAATTTAAGATAGTTGCGGACCAGAACCCAATTTCCATTAAAAAGTGGAAAACTGCAGATTTTGGTTATGCAATGAGACATAGAAACTTTCGTCAACTAATAAGGGAGAGTAAAATTTAAGATAGATGCGGACCAGAACGCAGACAGTGCTTCTGTCATGTAAAGGTCCTGAACATTTTTGTGTGCTGTGGCTGTGTGACCCTATCCGTGATGTGAGTCACTGTCGTTCTACGGTTTTGTGGTTCTGTCTTCTTCTGTGCACTTCTCCCAGCACACTTCTTATTTATACCTGCCCTATGGTTCTATATGCCCATATGACGTTCTCTATTAGCCTTTGGAAAGCACCCAATCGTATTCTTATAATGAAAGTTATTTGTCTCCTTGCAGCTCTACAAGACTTATACTAAGGAAATTTGGGAATATCTGGCTGAATTAACGAATATTCACTGGTAGCTCCACTTTCGAAGCAATGTTGACTCGCAAGAAACAATAAATACTATTAGAAAGCGTTACTTTATGTAAAATACCAGTATCGGTTGAAATGCTTTCTTTGGCTAATAAGTCGACGAATTCATTATGTTTAAATGCTGCATGCACCTACACAATCATTATAGGCGACTTCAATGCCAAATTAGGGAGAAAACTAGAAGAATCAAAAAATAAAATCGGCAACTTTGGATATGGAACACGAAACGAAAGAGGAGAAACATTAATGAACTATATGGAAACGAACGGTCTATATGCGATGAATACCTTTTTCAGTAAAAAACCACAGAGAAAATGGACATGAGTCGCGCCCAATGGTATAACAAAAAATGAGATTGATTACATCCTATCCAAAGAAAAGAACATAGTACAAGACGTTACGGTCATAAACATGATTTCCGTAGGAAGTGATCACAGAATTGTTAGAGCCAAAATCAAAATTAACTCCACAACAGACAGACAAAAATTTAAACCATCTAAAAAACAAATAGATACAGAACTTCTTAAAGAACGCAAAGAACAATACATAAACCAGCTAAAAAGAAGTGACATATCACAGCTAAAGGGTCTGCAACTAGACGAATTAAACGATAAAATAACAACAGAACTACTAGACGCAGGCCTGAAGATTGCTAATAAACAAAAGCGAAAACAACAAAAAATTAGCGCTAAATCACAAGATATGCTGAAAAAAACGACAACTACTGAATGATAACAAAAGAAATACAGTGGAGTATACCAAACTGAACAAAACCATAAGAAAACAGATAAAGGAAGATTTAAAGAAATACCAAGAAGACCGCATTAAGAAAATCATAGAGACGAACAAAAGTTTAAAAACAATGAAGACAAATATAGGAAAAAGAAAACTAATCATGCTTACAGCTGAGAACAATGAAGAAAGAGATCTAGGAGAAATAGTAAAAATCACAGAAAGATATTACACAGACATATACAGTTCTAAAAATGACCCACCACTATCATCTAAACAGAATCTCACGAGGAAAATACAAAATGTTGGCTCAGAGGTATTACCAGAAATAACTGAAGATGAGATCGAAAAATCCATAAGCGACATGAAAAGAAATAAAGCAGCCGGTGAGGACAAAATACTGGCGGAACTGCTAAAAGAAGGAGGATACACGATAAAAAAAAATGTTAAAAATACTGTTCAACAAATGTCTGTTTGAAGGTAAAATACCTAAACAATGGAGAAATGCCAACACAATCTTAATACATAAGAAAGGAGACCGAACAGACCTAAACAACTACCGTCCTATTTCCCGTTTGTCACAACTATATAAAACCTTCACAAGAATAATAAACAACCGACTAACCTATAAACTTGATAACTACCAACCAGTGGAACAGGCCGGATTCAGGAAAGGATACAGCACAATCGACCATCTACATGCGCTTAAAATCTTAATTGAGAAAACCAATGAATACAAAAATACAATGAATACAATAAACCTTCCGCTGTACTTAGCATTCATAGATTATGAAAAGGCTTTCGACAGCATTGAACACTGGGCGGTTGAAGAAGCTCTGGTCAATAGTAGAATAGATTTAAGATACCGACAATTGATACATGATATTTACCAAAACGCAACCATGACCGTAATTCTGGACGACAAATTAATAACGGATAATATAAAAGTTAAACGAGGAGTCCGACAAGGCGATATAATTTCACCTAAACTGTTTACCTTGACCCTAGAAGACATAATAAAATCAACAGATTGGGAAAACAGAGAAATATGTATTAACGGAAAATACCTAAATCACCTTAGATATGCGGATGATATACTCCTGATCTCCTCGGAACGACAAGAACTGGAATTAATGCTAAATGAACTTAATGAAAAATCACAGCAAAAAGGCCTAAAAATTAACTTCAACAAAACAAAAGTAATGACAAACACGGAAAACCAAGAGGCAATAAAAATAAAAACAGAAAAAATAGAACAAGTAAATGAGTATATCTATCTAGGACAAGCAATCAGAGCTAATAGAGAAAATCAAACAGCTGAAATATCGAGACGAGTAAGAATGCGATGGGCAGCGTTCAGCAAACTTTCTTACGTTCTAAAAAATCAAACAATCCCTCTATACTTACGAAGCAAGGTATATAACTCCTGTATAATACCGGTGCTCACCTACGGAGCACAGACATGGACATTTACACAGGCCAATTTGGATAGGATAAGGAAGGCACAAAGAGCGATGGAGAGACAAATGTTGGGTGTATCACTTAGAGATAGAAAACGTAACCAGTGGATCAGAACCAGAACAAAGACTGTAGACGCGATAGAACAAGCAGCAAAACTGAAGTGGAAATGGGCTGGACACAATGAACGTCTCCAAGACGGACGATGGAACAATGCCATCGGAAAGTGGCGTCCATACAATGCAAAGAGATCAAGATGCAGACCACAGATGAGGTGGAAAGATGACATCAGGAAACATGGAGGTCTCACATGGCAGAGAACAGCTCAAGATAGGGAAAGATGGAGAGAACTGGGGGAGACCTATATCGAACAATGGAAGGATAGAGAATAGGTTCAAAAAAAAAGCTGCATGTGCTTTAATCCAGAGAAAATTTACATTGATTCCTTTGGTTAAAAGAGTTTGATTAATATGTTTAATTCTTTAAGTGTATGGTCAATCTTGTAAGTTTGGTGGTTCATATTTACCAATAGATTTTAACACTGCTAAGGAGTCAGACAAAATTATAATATGGGTAAAATCAATTTCAGCTACATATAATAAAGCTTCATATATTGCAATAGCCTCTGGTGTATAAAACGAAGTCTCCCGGTTCAGTTTGAATTTCTTAATATATATATATATATATATATATATATATATATATTTATATATATATATATATATATATATATATATATATATATATATATATATATATATATATATATATTAGTATTACTTAATAGTATTTCTATCATACCTGGAACGTCTAAAGGTTGTATATGTCCCATAGGTCCTTTATAAGAGAACTGATAGAAATATACTGGAACATAAGCAGATGCAAGTACTGCATGGTGAATGGCTGGTGTTGACATTAGTTCCTCGCCTACATACTACAATAAAAGAAACGAAAAATAATAAATATTACAGTATTTTTAAAATTATTACGGTAATTTCTAAGTAGTAATTTCTTCATGTCTTCTAAAGCTCTGGAGAGATTAGGAAATGCCGAAAGGTCTTAATCTCGATGAAGGAAAAATCCGAATCTGCACCTCCACGCGGTAGAGGACGGGCAACATCAATTTTGATGGCTAACGCAGATAGGGACCGAGTGATTGCCGATATAAGCAGTCCCCCACTTACCGACCAACGGCTCCGGGCGGACGAGTTGGTAGGTGGTAGAGCACTCTTTTGTCCTGGGGCTGAGAAACCGGCCCCAAAGGCGGAAGAATCAATGGTTTGGTCAACGGCATAAGAATATAGAAGGCAACGAGAAACCACTATATTAAAGATCCCTATGGATATCTCTAGTACAATTATAATGGCTGTACAACTCAATAAAAAGTCGCAGGGCCTCTCAGATCGTTAATATGCAAAATCCCTGTGAAATACCCAATAAAACACCTTTAAGAAAAGTCCACACGAATTGTCTGAAGAGGATATCCACTTGGAACGTTAGGACGATGGCTCAATCAGGGAAAAATCCAATGCGCAATTAAAGAAATGGAACGCATGAAAATAGAAATAATGGGCATAAGTGGAATGAGGTGGCCTGACTCAAGTTATTGTGATATAGAAGACTACAGAGTATACTATTCAGGATCAGAAAATAGTAAATATGAGAATGGGGTTGGAATTATCACGCATAAAAGTATAGCCAAACAAGTCAACAACTTCATACCAGTGAACGATAGAATCCTCCTGTTACAAATAAATACGTCACCGGTGAACACAAACATCATACAAGTCTATGCACCCACAGCAGACCATAGTAATGAAGAAATATCAGAATTCTACAAACAAATAAGCAACCTTATAAGAGATATACCGAGACACGAACTCCTTATAATCATGGGAGATTTCAATGCAAAAATAGGTAACGGAAAAGAAGGGCAACATATTGGTCCACATGGATTAGGAGAGAGAAATCAACGCGGAGAAACAATGAGTATCTTTGCAGCTGAGCATGACTTAATCGTGCTAAACACATTTTACAAACTACCGCCTAGACGCCTGTATACGTGGAAATCTCCTAGAGACAACGGAGAAGACGTTATTATTAGAAATCAAATAGACTATATGTTTGTTAACAAAATATATCGAAATAGTTTCAACAGTGTCAAAACCTACCCAGGCGCTGATATTCAATCTGACCACAATCCTTTAGTGGGCGTGTATAGAACTAAGTTAAAGAAAATACGCGGAAAAACTGTAAAAAAACATGACATGAGAAAACTGAAATGTAGCGAAGTAAAAGAAATAGTCAGCAAAACATTAAATAGAAAATTTAAAGAAATCGATAATACAACGGAAAGCACAAAAGATAAGATAGAATCCTTTAAGAAAACAATAGACGACATTAAAGACAATTTTATGAAGAACGAAGAAGGTAAGAATAAGACATGGATGACGACAGAGATTCTGCAACTAATGGAAAAAAGAAGGAAAAACAAGAACGATAACTCCATGTATAAAACATTACAGCGAGAGATACAGAGAAAGAGCAGAGAAGCCAAACAGAAAGAACTGGAGAAAAAATGCCAAGAAATCGAAATTCTCCAAAGTAAATACGACGACTTCAACGTGCATAAGAAGGTAAGAGAAATTACAGGTAAATGTAAAAACAGAAGAATAAGTAAACTTGTTAATGACAATGGAGAGATAATCGTGGACAAAGAGAGTATCAATGATACCTGGAAAAATTACATAAGAAATTTATTTTTTGATGAGAGAGAGAACCAGCCCCCAATACCTACGGAAACAGGACCACCTATACTAGTGGCAGAAATAAGAGCAGCCATAATATCACTAAAAGAAGGTAGAGCTCCAGAACCAGACGGAGTACAATCTGAATTTCTCAAACTTCTTGACAATGAATCTTTAAGAGTACTATGTAAAATCTTCAATAATATCTATGACACAGGCAATATCCCAAAAGATTGGCTACTTTCAGAATTTATTACCTTACCAAAGAAACAGGGAGCAAAAAAGTGCGGAGAATATAGGCTAATAAGTCTAATGAGCCATACATTAAAACTTTTTCTTAAAATTATACATCGTAGAATATACAAGCTATGCGAAGAGAGAATACAAGACACACAGTTTGGATTCATGAAAGGCGTAGGTACAAGAGATGCACTGTTTAGTCTACAAGTATTATTTCAAAGATGCAGAGATATGACTTGCGATATTTACACCTGCTTTGTGGACTACCAAAAAGCATTTGATACAGCTCAACACCAAAAAATGATGGATATTCTAACAAAAGCCCAAATGGATGATAAAGATCGGCGTATAATACAAAATTTATACTGGAACCAATCAGCCACAATAAGAACGAATTTTGGAGGTGAACTAACGGAAATGATCCAGATTCTACGAGGCGTTAAGACAAGGTTGTATACTTTCACCTATATTATTTAATCTATATTCAGAGGAAATATTTAGTGAAGCCTTGGAAAATGCGAACATGGAATACTTCTAAATGGAGAACGCCTAAACAACATCCGTTATGCAGACGACAACGTTATTTTTGCAGACAGTTTGAACAGTTTACAGCAACTAATAAACAAAGTAAATGAAGTAAGTGAAAGATTTGGACTTCAAGTAAATATAACAAAAACTAAATTTATGATCATCAGCAAAAATAAAGTAAAACAGTATAACTATCTTGGAACAACAGTAAATGAACAATGAGATCACTCACAGGAAATAAAATGTAGAATAGAGAAGGCTAGGAGTGCATTCAATAACATGGCCAAACTCTTTAAAAGCCACAATCCTAATCTGGAGATAAAAGTAAGGCTCCTACGATGTTATATCTTCTCAATATTGTATTACGGAGTTGAATCCTGGACACTAACTGAAGCAATGGAGAAAAAACTTGAAGCCTTCGAGATGTGGCTATACAGGCGAATTCTAAGGATATCATGGACAGACAAGATAACCAACGAGACCGTATTACAAAGAGTGGGCAAAGAAAGAGAGGTGATGTATACCATTAAAAGGAGACAGTTGGAATATCTCGGACATATAATGAGAAACAGCACTAAATACAGATTACTGAAAGTAATCCTACAGGGTAAAGTATTCGGAAAGCGAGGAATTGGGAGAAGGAGAATATCATGGTTGAAGAACCTGAGGAAATGGTTCTCCACAACAACAACGAATCTATTTAAAGCATCAGTCAATAAAATAATTATAGCCAGAATGATTGCCAATATTTGGAACGAATAGGCACTGAAAGAAGAAGAATTTCTTCATCGAGCAATAAGAGATTTTATATAAATATTACAGGATCCAATTTGTAAATAGAATACATCTTGGAGACGGCTATCGCCGTATTCCCGTTCTCCTCAGCCAATCCTCCCAGTCCAAAGCATGCTTCTCCTCCAAACCTCTCGATTCCATCGCTGTTCTAATTCCTTCATTCCATGAACGTCGAGGTCTTTATATCCTTATATCCACTTTGATATATTCTTCAGTGCTTCCGAGGTCCTAGTCTTCCGAGCCCCCAGACACTACTACACTGATTACTAACCAATGCATTACTAAGCAATATATTTATAATTTATGCGACAAATTTCATTGGGTGTTTCTGAGAGTTTTCTATATAAATATATGTTCGCAAATGTTTCATTAACAAACTGACTATTAATTGCTCTGAAACCTGTTGAGATATGGAACTGAAATTTGGTGAGTTTTAAAAGGCAATTATTGCGAATTTTTTGACATACAACTTAGACTTTTATATTCATCATTGGCGCGCATACAGGTAGTGGTTTCAATTTTTTTTTTTATAGAAAAAAATGGTACGCCACACAGTGAGGCGAAAACTCTATAAAGCGCTTAAAAATGGGTTTTTCATATATTGAATCAATTGATGATTAATAAATTTGCGTATGCCTACCTTTTAGAGCCAATCATAGGCAATCATAACCGGAGTCTTAAAGCTTATTGTCCCAATACAAAACCTTGACTTCCCTAGGTCCAAAAACCTAGGAAATTCAAGGTTTTTTCCAAAACACTAAAAAAATGGCCTCTCATGTACTCTTTGAAATAAATATTAATTAGTCATCAATGGTCTGAATGAAGATTCTGAAAGAAAATTAGCTGCATAAACCTGTAAACTTTGGATCCCAAGCACAAAAAATCTAAAAAACTCACTAATTACATGGAGTGGAATAAACTGTAAAAAAATCCCAAATGAAAAAATCTGGAGGATTATCGGGAGTAACCGGGTAAATCCGGTTATCGAGCAGGCTCCTTGATCGATTTGATCAAGAATCCATTGGCAAAAAATAGGCACGGAAAGAAGTCTCTCGATAGTAGAGCTTGCACACCTTGGATATGATACTGATACAGTTGATATTCTTTAAGAATTTTAAATACAGTGAAGTTGCTTACATTCAATAAGTTGGCAATTGTTCGAGTACTTCTTTCAGGTGACTCCACAATTAACTCGAGGACTAATTCTACTAGTTGTAGAGTTCGTACTTCTCAAGGGCATCCGCAGTCAGCCGTTTGTTTCATAAATGTAACATTTTGGAGCAAACGTTGGTGAAGACGAGCTAATATTTTATCATGGGTTAGCCTACGTCTTGGATACAACTCAGCATACTTGTCAGCAATGTCCTTTAGTTCATTCAATTTCTATTTAGTTCAAATAATTCCGTATTTGTAAAATTTTCCATTCTTTTCGGTAAAATAATGTACAATATAATACAATAATGTTACAATAAACTAAAAGATTAATATTGAAGAAATGGTACTTTAACATTAGATATGTTTACAGTAGCTAAATAAAATAATTGAGAAATGTTGACAGTAGCCTTTTAGGCAATATATTTAAGAAATACACGTTAAGATGTACTTTTTTGGATGAAAACGGCGCCTTATATGTAAGAAAAATAAGAAAGATTTTTTGTCACAAATTACCAAGCCAAAATCTATAAAATATATTATGTTATCAATTAATATTTTTTAAGAATACTTACTTCAAGAAACGCTGGTAAATCATTCGAAAAATTGGAAGAGGTATAAACGCTTTTATACTCTCGGCCAGCCTGTTCACGTTTTTCGGGAGGTATATTTAATCTTGGATTTATCATCATACGAACATCTTGATCGTAGGAGGCAGCATCCTGAATCTGTTCATTAATGTCTAAAAGGAAAAATCAAAAGTTTAATGAAAACAAAAGAAAGGAAAACAAGGCCATTTTTGTTTTTAAAAGTTTTTAAAAATGCTTGTTTCCTTTAACTTTTTTTCTTGAAAAGGGAGAATATAATAGATAGGGAGAAGGGAGATACCAATAGAGTATGTGAGATAGCCCAATATTTCACAGTACAGGTATTTGTTATTTCCTTCCTTTCCAAATCTGTAAAGGTAAGCCCTGAAGCAACCATGTCCTGCGAGCATCTGCGTTAGGAAGTAATCCAAACGCCAATGCCCGCAGTCCATCCATCTTCTCAGATTAGGAATCAGCGACTTCGTCCACTGCGCCACCCTTTTCATCTCGTCCCATTTTCCTTGCCACACTATTATGAACCTCTCCTTTTTTTTTAAACGTTCCGCTGCTATGTTTTCATTTCTTCTCTCGTATATTCATCATCTTTACTTTACTAATACATAATTCCCAGCGCCTCAACAGAGACTGTTGTGTATGCACATGTCACCCTCAATAGATTTTCTGTATCTGCTCGGGAGATCTGCTTTTTGTACGCCTTTGTTAAAACTGCAGTATTCCAGACAGGCGCAGCTTAGAGCCCGATCGATTGTATAACAGAATAAAATCCTTCCTTCTCTCAGTTTTGGATACTTAGTGCAGCTCTTTGGGTCACCACCTTTACGTGCCCCTCCCACCCTCCGTTTTGACTTAGAGACACTCTCTTTTCTGCACGTTCGAATGTTATCCCTTCCTTTTTCCTTGGCCCCTTGAGAACTCTAGCCTCGGTCTTACTCGCAGCCAGTTATTGCTCATGCATTTTCATCCATTACTTAACTTGTAAGTACGCTGTGCACCAAAGATAAATCCTCCATGTCCCGCGCCACTACCAGCATAGCGAGGTCGTCCGCAAATGCGAAAGGTGTTACACCCCTCCGTATTGTTAGCTTACAACCCCGTCATATGCCAAGTTCCACAGCGTGGGTCCTAGGACCAACTCTTGCGCCACTTTAGCCGTCACGTCAACCACTACTCCTTTTTCTACCACAATTTTCCTTTTTGACAAATAGTCAGAGACCAAATTCATCAAGTACCCTGGACATCTTCTCTCTCGTAAAGTCCTTATTACCTCTTTCCATTAAAATGTGTTGAAAGCATTCCGGACGTGAAACAACAGTAGGATTGCCCACTTCTGGTTAACCCCTACCCCGGGCAGCTCCCTGAAGACTTCATCAGCGCATTCATCGTGCTCCTGTTCTTTTTGAAACCATGTGACAGCCCCCCTGATTATTGAATCGCTGTGTCTATTCGCCCTCTTACAAGTCTCTCGTATAATTTACCTATGCACGACAAAGGTCATGTCGATACCTGTCTTCTTTTGATTTTGCGCTTCTATTTGCCATTGTTGTACCCCAATTCAAGATAAATCGGCTTCAACACTATCCTTCCATCTTTTTCTCGGTCGGCCACTGATCTTCTATCATCTGGCCTTTCAAAAAGCACCGTCTTCAACACTCTGTCATCATCTGATCATACCACGTGACCTGCCCATCTTATTCGGTTTACCTTGATATGTCTAACTATGTTTTCAGTTCCATATAGAGTCACCAATTCAGCATTGCGGCGTCTTATTCAATCCCCTGTAAATTCATCTCTTTGAGGGGCAAATGTTATTCTGAAAACCTTTCTCTCAAATACTAGAAGCTTATTGATTTCCCACTAGTTGAGAGTCAGTGTTTTCAGTAAATTCTCCTGTCAGCTTAGACGATATTTTACTTATTGCATATTCTAAACTAAAATTGAACAGCAATGGTGACAATTGATCCCCCTATCTAAGTCCTGAATTTATACCAAATGGCATCGATGTTCTGCTTCCTATTTTTACTTGCGCATATGTCTGTCACGCACATTTGCGTTAATTCAACTAATTTTCTTGGTATTCCCATTTTTAACATTGCTATCCACAATTTGCTTCTTTTTATGGAATCATATGCTTGCTGGAAATCTATGAAAATTTGGTGCACATCGTGGTTCAATTCCCAGTTTTTCTCTAATATTTGTCGGATGGTAAATATCTGATCTATAGTTGACCTTCCAGCACGAAAGCCACATTGGGAGTCGCCTATAATATCTTCCGAATATTGTGTGAGTTTCGTTAGCAAGATAATTGGTAGCACTTTTTATGATGTGTTAATAAGCGATATGCCTCTATAGTTTCGGAATTTTTCTTTGTTTCGTTTCTTATATATGGGAATTATAACGCTTTCATTCCATTCTCTAGGCATTTTCAATAAGTCTCCATTTATGCTATCATTTTCTGGTGCTTTATGGTGTTTTAGAGACGCGATCGCATTCTTTACTTCCTCATGTGTTGGTGCTGATATTTCGATATCTGCAGAATGAAACGTAATATCTGCTTCCTCCGTCTCACTTTCAATATTTAGTAATTTCCGAAAGTATTCCTTTCATCGTTCGACGATTTCCGTTTCTATCATTATAAGTTCAACTGATCCATTTCTCCTAGGCTGTGTTACTCCAACACTTATTTTCTGACTGACTTCACTTCACTAAAGAATTTCATTATTTGATTCCTCTCGCCACTCCTGTCCATTTCCCGGATTTGCTGTTATAGGTAGCTCCTCTTGTTAGTTCTGAATAGTCGCCTTGTTTGTGCTCTTGTTTTGTTTAAATCTACTTTGTTCTCATCTGTGGAGTCTTGTAGCATTTTCAACCTTTTTTTTTTTGTTTTTATTTCCAGAATTTCCTTGCATGCTTTGTCAAACCATTTCCGTTTTGGGCGGCTCCTCTTCTTTCCAATGGTTTCCTTGGCTGCTTGTTCTATAACTGATGAAACTTGCTGCCATGCTTGTTCTAACTCTACATTATGCTCTTTCTCTCACAGCAACTGGAATCCGTTGCTTATTGCCACTTGATAATCCAGTTCTTTATTTGGTATTTGTAGGGCTTCCATGTTCCATATTTCTCTTTTTTCTTGTTATTCCAGTTTTTGTATTGATAATCGCGTTCAGCGAGAAGCTGGGAAAGGTTAATCAAAAAATTAATCAATTATACATTACATATGATAAGTTACTTATTTAAATACAAATTTAATTCTTAAGAGATGTCTAATTTTAAAATTTCAAGATTTAGGTAATATTTTTATTTTTATGCCATTTTCTATAGTATAATTAAATTGCTAACCTATTACTAAACCAAGAGATTCTTCTAGGGCAGTACTCATCAACATAGGTGTTTGTTCAAAATCTCCACTTAATAATTTTTCTGATAAATAACCTGTTATTACAGCACTTTTATATTCTGAATTTTCCATACTTAGTATCCAAATAAGATTTTTTGCAAGACTGTGATTGTATTTCTGCTCGAACAGCTGTAAAATATAAAAAAAATCAATTCTATTGAACCACAAAAGTTTAATTACACAGGCCTACATTTTTATTTTCATAAAAAAGTGTTTTAAGTTGAATAGGTGTCCTATAGAAAAATGGGATGTGCTGATCACGAATCTGTACTTAGTTTTTTTTCAGCAAGTCAGGTTTTCAAAAAACGTGTGTTTGAAATTTTTCTTAGAAACTGTCAAAAATACTGAGAAAATATTTATTGAAACCTTATTTAATATAAAATTACACTACAAAATTGAGTTGTTCTTAGAAAAAAGAATTCAGTATAACCTAAGTTAGACAATATTTGTTTTTTTTTAATAAAACTGTTTTCTTTTTCCATGAAAATTGCATTTTGTAGTCTTCTTTTTATGGATTTTTGTGATCGATTATCTCTTTAAGGTCCAGCATTAATCGTCCCTCATTCTTATATCCCATCTTCCTTGGTAACGTCTCTTTATCTCCTTTAATCCTTAATAGAAGCTTTCCTCCAGCTCCTCGCTGACAGCTCCAAGATTTTCGGGAAAATAGTCAACGTGGGAATCCAAAAAATGAAGTTTGACGCTCATATTGCATCAGTTTTTTTATAATTTTCGACCATGCTAGATACAATTTCTTTATATTTTGGAGACTTGTTGTTTCCAAGGAAACCGTTTTACGAAAGAACTTTATAGTTCAGGTCAGTGGCGGCTGGTGACTCAAAAATTTGGTAGTTCTGCAGTATTTTTTGGTTTTTTTTTTAATTCAATATCTTTTCATCTTTGTATTTTACAACGAGGCTTTTAGTTTGATATTTTACACCATATATTTATTCATTATATATCTATTAAAAAATAATAAAGAACTTACCGATTTTCTTCTTTTCAAATTGAAGATAAATCCAATTATATCAAAAATAGCAATGGTACATTATGGCACACTAGTAATTGTTTTATAGTTTATGTTTTTAGTATAATTTTATCGATAAATACGCGAAACTAAGGAATGCAAACGAAAAAACACTACAAACAAAATCGCCACAACAATAATTGCATAATAGGGTCTTACGAACTAACTACACACAGAGACAAATATATTATTTTTTTTATAAATAAGTTCGATTCGTCGATTTTTTTTAAAGCAAACTTGTCTATAACTTTTTTATTAAAGTTTGGTATTTCTTTTATAAGTGTTTTTTCTACTGACAACATGGTTAATGCTACAAGTCGGTCTTCAGTCATGGAATTTCTCAAGAATGACTTAATCCGTTTTAAACTCGAAAAGCACCTTTCAGCTTCTGCCGTACTCATGGGCACTGTAATTAGAATTTGAAGCAGTTTTACAGTTTCTTGAAAAGGCTCTGTTAAATTATTTTCAATTAAAAATTTTAAAAAAGGTACTGCCCCATTAATGTCTCTACAGTCTCTTCTAAAATAAATAACAGATAATTCAGTCTTCAAGCGCTCCCTATCTAAATTTGGATATGACGCGCAAGTCAGGCTTAAATTATCATCTGGGAAATTATCACAATAATTATCAAATTTCTCAGGATAAAGCAATGAAGTTGCAAGTAGGTGATTTTTAAAAGCAAATCTATCATTTGCACAATTTATGATTATATCACAAACTTCGATAGATGCTCTCCGATGATCTACTGGACTGTTGTCCTTCCGTAACCTTTTAGTTGGTAATGGTTCAACGCATAAACTAGAACCTTGGTCAATGGTATCATCTATTGAATTTCTAACTGAATTTATGTATCTTTTGAAATCTGTCACCTTTTTATTGATTTCCAAAGGATCCGTTTTAGTCTTTTGAAGGGCATTATACAAAACGTCTACTTGTGGCATTATGCGATGGAAAAATGTTAACCAAAAAACAAAATTTTGATCCACTAGCATTCTTCGAATGGAAGATGCTGAACTACAGACAGCTGCCTTATCAAACGATTCTTCTATTTCTTCCATACATTCGATAAAAGAAGATCGATGTTCAAACACAACATTAACAGTTCGAATATTGAAGTTCCAGCGAGTTGGAGCGCCATGAGGAATTTTCTTTTGGACGATTTTATCTAAAACTGCCACTCGTTGTGGCGAATTATTAAAAAAGGTAGGGATTTCATTTAAATTTCCAAAAAAAAAGTCTAACTTGAGAGTTTTCGAAACAAGCCTTAGACATTATTAAATTTACTTTGAAAATAAGGCTATTATCGAGCACCAAGTTAATTAAATCAAGCCCAAGTACTTTCGCTTATAATAGCATCTTCAGGGGCATTTCGTCAAAATAAGATCTATCCAGCAAGCGTAGGAAGTGGAAACATTAAAACTAACATAAATTATACAAAACACTACACTAAACGAGGACAAACAGTTTAAAATTGCTTCTACGCTACATTATTCTCTGTCAGTTTCTGAGAGAAACTGACAGAGAATAATGTAGCGTAGAAGCAATTTTAAACTGTTTGTCCTCGTTTAGTGTAGTGTTTTGTATAATTTATGTTAGTTTTAATGTTTCCACTTCCTACGCTTGCTGGATAGATCTTATTTTGACGAAATGCCCCTGAAGATGCTATTATAAGCGAAAGTACTTGGGCTTGATTTAATTAACTTGGTGCTCGATAATAGCCTTATTTTCAAAGTTCATTTATTCGAGCATTCAACCTCATTTCATTTATTATTAAATTTAATTGATGCGCGTAACAGTGTACAAAATGAGCAAATGGATATTTTTCTTTGATTCTGGCTTGAACTCCTGCGTGCTGTCCACACATGACCGCTGCCCCATCACAACTCGGAGCAATTAGTTTATTATTTGAGTTTTCCAGGATAGGATCCAAAACACTGAAAATGTTTTTGCTTAAAGTATCTGCATTTAATTTTGAAGGTACCAAATATGTCCAAAATCGTTCTACCGGTGCTCCGTTTCGACAATATCTAAATACTATAACCATTTGTGATTTTGCTGAAATGTCTGTAGTCTCGTCGGCCATGACAGCTAGATATGGAGATTCCCGAATTTCCTCCAAAATTTTATCCTGGCATAATTCCAACATGCAGTCCAAAATATTATTTTGAATTTCTTTAGAAATGCCCTTAAAAACCGTCGATTCTTCCAAGTGTTGTACTAAAGTTCTATCCAATTCAGCAGTAAAATTTATGGCCGCGAAAAATTCCAGGATTGTTGGATGTTTGTGTCTCGTCGTGTCCCACAGATATTTAAAGCAGTGACATTGTTTATCTAAAGCTTTGACAAACTGCTTTATCAATCCTAACTTTATGTGAAGAGGAGGCAAAAGAACTAATTTTGGGTCAACTAGTGTATCACGTTGCACATTTTTTTGTCCTGGTACTAGTCTTTCTCTGAGTGCTGACTCTTTCTTAACGTAATGTAAATATCCCACTCGCATAAAAATATGGATACTTTGTAAATCCAGACTGCTGACCTAAAAGCATGGATATTATTTTAAGATCTTCACAGAGTTGCCAACAATATTCGCTATACTTTATTTTATTTAGCAACAGCTCAAGATTCTCATATGTTTCTTTCAAATGCAGAGTGGGCAACATACATTGAGGCACAAGTATTATCATTATGCAACAAGTCACTCTTTAGACTTCTCTTAGAAAAATCATTAAATAACCGCCATGATGTGGAATCGTAATTGTCAGCTCCCAGTTTCATTATTATTTTAGAAATATTATGACAATACATCCGTGAGCCCTCTTGGGAAAAATATTACGCGAACTCTTTTTCACGATGCCTATACCACGAAAATGTGGTACCTAGTCTTAAGTCATTTAGTTCAGCTTGGATAAACTTTTGAGGTTGGTCTATCTCAGGATTGAATTTATCATCATCAGTTTTTTGTCTGAACTTTCATCTGATGATTGCTGTTGGATGGTGTGAAGAAAAGTTGGAGGAATAGGGATTCCTGGTTCATGAAATACAGGTCGTTTAGCAGAAGGTAAAACATGATATTAAATTTTGTGTTAATTTTTTGAATTAAAACCCTTGATATTGCAGGAGCAAAAGTAGCAGTCGTCTCCATGGGTTTTTGGTTCCCTCCATACCATAGAAATGCCGAAGGGTAAAGAGTTACGTGTACCTTTTGTCCATTTTCTCAGTAGTTCGACACACTGAAAGCAGACTTTGTGTGGAGCCAAAGGTTTTTCCTGATCACCAAACTTTACAAGCACCAATAAGGTACTTGTTTGCGCTAGTATATAATATCTCACAAGGTTTTTTCAATTTCGTGAAAATTTTGACGTGATGGGCAGTGTTGCCATTTAAATGAAATTAACATATTAATGTATTTAAGTATGTTCTATCGATCTATCAAGTATTTTTAAGAAATAATTTTAATGCAATTTACGAAATATCAATAAGGTATTTGTTTGCACTAGTACATAATATCTCACAAGGTTTTTTTTTTAATTTTGTGAACAATTTGGACGTGATGGGCTTAAACCGAATTCATATTCAGAATCAGCGTATCCCTCTTAGCTAAGGACACATGTCAAACTCAAAACAGCAAAAATCATGTCGGCATGTGATATTAATACTTTTTGTGCAACTATTTTCATCAGTTTTATGAAGATTTGAAGATTCAGTGACGTAAAAGGCTTACATGCGCCAGTTTGCACTTAATTGTTAAATGGAATCATTTAATGTTTAATAATCAAATGTCAAGTTACATTTTTTTAAAGATCTTTTTAAGATTTTTATGATACCTGAATATATAAAAATTTCTAATTCGAATAAAAATGATTACTTACCTGCTCATAAAGTATAATTTCAGCTGGGGCGCTTTGAAGTAAATTTAACAATTCTTGCGTATTTGTTGAATTAAAATATTTGTCCACAGTTTTACCCATAGCAAAAGCGTAAATATCAGGATCATCTTGGTAAACAGGTGGGCTTATCGGTGACCCACTTTGCATTATATAACCTTTCACTAAACCTAAAATAATGATTAAATCATTAATTATTTTATGTACTATTTAATGTTAATGTACTCAAAGATTGGTACTGGATTTATTGTCAACAAAGTATGGGCTACTTGAGACAGACGGTCAAAGTCCATTCTGACGTCACTCTCGGCAAGCGTTGAATCTGCATTACCAGCCGAGCATGAACCTTAGCCAAGACTAGAACCATTTGTCAATTGTTAATTCTTCTTCTTTTCCTCAGCTTATGTCAGAACGAAGCTACCGACCAATGGGAACAAAGTCCCGTCCACAACAAAAGTCCCGCCTACCGGACGGGAGGGTATGACACAAGTATGACAGACATATTTTGCTGTTTAACGATTTGAGACTGTCACATGTGTGGAAACCGTAACGAGCTGTATACTGTATTTTATCTACGGCGAACACGTCTAAAAAAGCTGACATTGTACATAAGTCTCCGGTAAGAATAATATGTTAATATTTATACTATTAGGTCTTTAAGAGGAGCCAACATAGATAGTGATCTATCTGGTTAAAGCATGGTACAAAAAGTTTTCAGCTATACAAAAATGAGCTAGAAAGTGACAGGAACCCTCCAAGAGAATTTAAAAACGCATGCTACTGCTATTATCAAACGGAGAATAACTTTGTTATAACTGTTTGGAGAATAACTCACTACTGTGACAGCGCAGTGATCAGTGAACAGTGTAGTAGTGTCTGGGGGTTCGGGAGACTGAGACCTCGGAAGCCCTGAGGAAGGCATCAGAGAAGATGCCGAAAGCTCGGCAAAATGGATATCGACGCGGTTCAACCCGGAAGACTGGTGAGTTTGATATTAATTTTAGTAATAATATTAATCTTAGCTCTAGGTTTCATTATATATATATATATATATATATATATATATATATATATATATGTATATATAAAGTAAATTTTCAATATTGGGTTTGCAGCAATAAAAATGATACGTGTACTCTTTTAAATTTTTATTCCGAGCTTTCGGACATGGTTATGTCCTTCATCAGGGAGAAACTTAATGAGGTTGGATCATCAATGAATTTCTACCATGTCGATAAAACTTATCACAGTCTGTCATATTATTATATAAAACTTATTCCTATATTTAAAATTTTTAAAAATCGCTATACAATCACAAACACTTACTTATTGAGTAATTTTATTCAATAAGTAAGTGTTTGTGATTGTATAGCGATTTTTAAAAATTTTAAATATAGGAATAAGTTTTATATAATAATATGACAGACTGTGATAAGTTTTATCGACATGGTAGAAAATCATTGATGATCCAACCTCATTAAGTTTCTCCCTGATGAAGGACATAACCATGTCCGAAAGCTCGGAATAAAAATTTAAAAGAGTACACGTATCATTTTTATTGCTGCAAACCCAATATTGAAAATTTACTTCCTTGTTGTCAGCAAATACTTCTAGTTCATTTTATGTATATATATATATATATATATATATATATATATATATATATAAGCAATCTTTATATTTAATATGATTTACATAGTAAATAAAAAGGGCTGAATGAAAATTTCTTCTATTATTCAGTCGCTGAACTTTAAAACAAGTTAACATAGCATTATAGGAAATCATGTATGGATAGATACCAAACTTTCTGACATAAAGAAACCTCAAGAATCGTTTTTAAACCTTTTCAATCAGATCAACATTAAATTTGACTTGTGGTGCCCATATAATAGAGGCATACTCCAAGTGACATCTTACCTGTGCATTGTATAATGATATCAGAGTTTCAAATTTTTTAAAAATAATTGAATTACAAATTATGAAGCCAAAAGTTCTGTATGCCTTTCCAATGATGATTCGATAATGTTCATTAAATCTCAAATTTTGCTGAAACATTACGCCAAGATCTTTGCAAGAATTCTTTTTTCCAAGTACAGTGCTAGAAATTTTGTATTGGTTCTATATGTATTGTATTTTTCGAGTGATAGTAAAAACTTGACATTTAGAAGTGTTTAGAAATATTTTGTTGTCATTGAACCATTGACTTATTGAGTTCAGATCACATTGCAGCATCTCCGAGTTCTAAGGAGTTGAAATTTTTCGACAAATCTTAAAATCATCTGCAAATAGCAGGCTTGTCAGTGAGGCAAATCATTAATAAATATAGCGAACAGAAGAGGACTCAAGTTGCTACATTGTGATGTCGACATAAATCGCTTGGATAAACTGTTCCCCACTTTAACTTGATTTAACCTATCAGAAAGATATGACCTCATAAACATACATGCTTCTGAATCAAAATCAAATTTACTTAGCAGTTCAATAAGTATAGAGTAATCAATATCAAAAGCTTTAGTACAGTCGGTAAAAATGACATCCACCTGAGTTTTATTATTTATTGCCCCTGCTGCAAAACTTGTAAAAACGCACAAATTTGACACAGTGGACTTCCCTGGTAAAAAACCATGTTGTTCTGAACAGAACCTATCTCCAAAGTAATTTTAAATATTGTTATAAAGCACATTCTCGAATATCTGAGCAATTGAATTGACGACAGATATAGGCCTATAGTTCTCAACGTTACCAGCATTCTTATTCTTAGAGTGCCTACGGAACGTCGCGTCGGCGACTACCATGCTTATAATATTGTTATACTGATCTCGGTCTTGCGCTATGTGTAGCAATTGGTCCGCTATCAAACCTGTCCACTGCCGCAAATTCCTCAACCAAGAGAGTTTCTTCCGTCCTATCCATTTCTTTCCTTCGATTTTACCGTTGAGAATTAGCCGAAGGAACTCATATCTTGGTCCTCTGATTATATGTCCAAGATATTCTAGTTTACGCCTCTTAATAATATTTAATAGAGTTCGTTGATGTCCCATTCTTCGAAGAACTTCTTCGTTTCTGGTTCTGCTAGTCCATGGAATTTTTAGTATCCTTCGATACAACCACATCTCAAACGCCTCGATTTTATTCATGATATCGGCGTTTAAAGTCCAAGTTTCACATCCATACAAAGTACAGACCAACCGTAACATCTTGCAAACTTAGAGGCTTGAAGTTTTGAAATAAGTTTCTTGCCTGTTCAATTCTACATCGAATTTCGAAGGATGGATCTAGATTTTGGGTAATCCAACATCCAAGTTATTTGAATCTCTGAACTCTCTGCAGCGGTCTTTTGGTTTAATATCAGTTGAGTTGCGCCGATATCCACTTTACTGGTCACCATGTATTTAATTTTATCGATATTTATCGACAGTCCCCAATTTGTGCATTCCATGTCAACTCTATTGATTAGCTCCTGCAGATCGTCGATGTTTTCAGCTAGAATCACAGTATCGTCGGCGTACCTTATATTGTTAATTATTTCTTCTCATATGATAATTCCTTTTTGATCTTTTAAAGCTTCCCTAAATAGATTCTCAGAATACACGTTAATGAGGGTGGGAGATAGTATACAGCCTTGTCTTACGCTTCGTTCAATACTGATTGGCTTTGATTATCTGTTGTTGGTATTAATAATGGCTGTTTGGTTTCAGTAAAGTTTGGCAATAAGTTTGATGTCTTTCTCATCTAGTTGGATGCTCTGCAAGGCAGTAATTAGTCTGGTATGCTGAACGCGATCAAATGCCTTTTCAAAATCAAAGAAGCACATACGGGTTTTCTTACCTCCCAACATCGTTGAAGGAGTGTTTGCATAGAAAATAGTGCTTCTAAATCTGATAATGCTGGTAGTCCTTATCAGCATTATCAGATTTAAATATAGGTGTTATAGCTGCATGCTTTAAGGTATCTGGAAATTAACTTTGTTTAAGCAACAAATTAAAAATTAGTGTGAAAGGGACCGAAAGAGTCTCTTCACAACCTTTAAAAGTGTATGCTGGTATATTGTCATTACTTGTGGCTTTTTTTGTTTTTGTCTTTTAATGCTTTGGAGAACATTCTCAACTGTTATTTTGGAAAAGTAAAAACCCCTCTGATTCAGTGTACTATTGAGACTATTTGATCTTTGAAATACAGAGCAAAAGTATTCTGCAAACACATTAGCAATACCCTGACAGCCACTTATGTTCACTCCCTTATAAGAGACCTCTGTTGGAAGTGTTTTATGTATTTACACCACGGGATTTTATAAAGGACCAAAAACTACTAGGGTCAGTTTGTACATTAATCTCAATATTTTCATTGTGACACCGCTATGTTTTCCTACTAAGCTGTTTCACCTCTCGTCTCAGTGATTTAAATTCAGTCAAAACCAAAGCATTTGGTTGCTTCAAAAATTATAGTGCTCATGATGATTGCCCACTTTCGTAAACTAGATAAACTCTTCTTTGTTACAAACAATTACAAAACAAAGTGTTATTTATGTTGATAATAAAAAAAATAAGAATTATCCCTATACAGTTTAAAAACCTCATAATTTGATTTTAGATGTATAGTTAACCAGTAACCTTAATAGAATAGAAAATGAAATAAATAAGAAAAAGTACCAACCTTTTGTTAATGGACTTATTTGAAGAGCACCAATAGCCATTGATCCGGCACTAGATCCCATAAGGGTAATTTGATCTTTATCGCCTCCAAAAAGATTGATGTTTTTATGTACCCATTGTAGAGCTAGAAGCATATCTTTTACAGCTAAGTTGCCTGGAATTACACCGTCCGATGTCGCTAGAAATCCTTTTAAAATACAAAATGGTTAAGTATTAGTAAAAAAAGGATTAGAAATAAAGTCATTACATTTACCTACCAAATGGTCCTAGTCTGTAGTTGATTGTGACTAGAATAATATCATAGTCCATTAAGAATCTTGGATTATAATATTCAAAAGCTCCACTCTCAAATTTAAAGGTACCTCCATGTATATACATCAGAACGGGTAGAGAAGAGTTTGTGAAATTTAAGTTCTAAAAATAAAAAAGTATAGGCAGTGTTAGTATTACTTTGTAGCTTTCATTGTAGCTAAATAAAACTGTTTAAAATGATTTTAGAGACTTTACAAAGCGATTGATTTTTATACATTGTTGCGTGTTCTTGTATCATTAAAAAGGACATGGGACATATATGTCCCATTAGTATTGAACGGTCGAATAAATAAATCCCATCAGTAAAGAAACAATCTTATAATCAAAATAAAAAAGTACATTACACAAAAAAACATTACTTGTTATATTTTCTATAAAATTACAAACTGCTGTTCCGGCCTACATCTACGGAACACACCAAATGTCATGAAATGACATGCTGTCATTTTTCTGCGGGGGAGTTAACCTATATTGATTGTACTACATGTTTTCATAAATATAAATATATATATAATATAATCCTAAAGACGTCAATTAAGGTAGTCAAGATATCTACAAAGTGTGTACGGATACAACAGTTGGCGACGGGGATGGGATGAATTACGTTTATATTTTTTATAAATTACTACTACTATCGGTTTACAGCGTTCTCCGACGTATTCCGACTCCTAACCGCCATTCTTCTCTATTCAACCATAGACCTGGAGGGATTTTTCTTTCCTCTAGTTCTTTTTCAATCCCTTCTCTCCAGCTTCTTCTCGGCCTTCCTCTTTTCCTTCTCCCTTGTGGTGTCTACGTCAAAATCTGTTTTGGAATCCTGTCATCTGGCATTCTCTGTACATGGCCGTACCATATTAACTGTTTTGTTTTTATGTCATCAACTATTGTATGCTTGACTCCCACCATTTCTCGTATTCTCTCATTTGGTATCCCATATCTTCTTGATTTGCCAGCTGCTCTTCTCCAGAAGTCCATTTCTGTTGCTAGTAACAATTTCTCTGTTCTTTGTTTCATTGGCCAAACTTCACTGCCATATGTGATTACACTTTTAAGTATGGTGTTGTATATGAGTTGTTTGTTCGCTTTAGATATTGTTTGGTCCCACAGAATGCCGTTCATCATGGATATGGCTTTTCTACCCTGTATGTTTCTTTCTTTTATAGCAGCATCGAGTGTTCCATCTTGAGTTATCTTCATACCCAAGTACTTGTATTCATCACAGTTTCTAATTTCTACCCCATCGTCTAATATAATAGATGGTTTTGTCCCTCCAATACACATGGCTTCAGTTTTCTTAATATTGACTTCGAGACCCCATTTGTTATATTCTTCTATTAGCTTTCGAGTCATGTAACTCAAGTCGTCATGATCCTGGGCAATCAGTATTTGGTCATCAGCGAAACATAAGGTGTACAGTGTAGTCTCGTCATTGAGAGGGATTCCCATGCCATTAAATTTTCTTTTCCATAGCTTGAGCGCTTGTTCCAGATAAATTTTGAAAAGGGTAGGCGAAATACAGCAACCCTGCTTTAGTCCTTTCGTGACCTTAAATCCTTCAGATATCCTTGATCCAGTTTTAATTTTTGCAGTCGTTCCATTATACAGACTTTGGACTGCTTTGATAAGACCATGCTTAATGTTGGTTTGCTGTAGGGTTGACCATAGTTTACTTAGATGTACACTGCCATATGCTTTTTGTAAGTCTACGTACACCAGGTGAACTTCTTTATTGAAGGCTGTTTTTTTCTCAATAACTTGCGTAATAGAGTACAGGTGGTCTACTATGGATCGCCCAGCTCTAAAACCAGCTTTCTCTTCTGCTTCGTAATCTCTATAGTCATTTTCTATTTTGTTCTTGATAAGTTTCCCATACATCCTACTTATTGTGCTGTTTACCGCAATTCCTCTGTAATTTTCACAGTGATCCTTGCTGCCCTTTTTGTGGATAGTTGACATGATAGATAATTTCCATTCTTTTGGTAATTCGGCCCTATTCAAGCAGTCTTGAAAGAGTTTTTCTTAACTGTTCCTGGAGTTTGTCTATATCGGCTTTCACTAATTGTCACCGGGACCAGCGGATTTTCCATTTTTTAGGGATTCGGTTATTTGTTCCATCTCTGAATTACTGATTAGTAATGGTGATGAATTTATACGTATACCTATCGTGTTGTCTTCCATGTTAGCAAATTCTGGTCTTTGTTCTGTTAGTAATTTTTTGAAATATTCTTCCCATTTTTCTGTTGTTATTGGTGATATACATCCGGGAAATATCTCATCTAAATAACGCCGAACATTTACACCAACTGACTTTAAATTTCCTTCGATATAAAATTACGTCAGTCCAGTACCTTAAATTGTGTCGATTTACACTTCCACACAGTGTAAAGGTTGCTTCATCGGAAAAACATATTCTGTTAATGACATTTTAATCATTTTCAATTTTATCCATATTACCTCAGTAAACTCTAATCTATGATATGAACGAAGTCATCTTCTATAACAATAAATAACTGAAAACTTTGTTTTCAATTATTTCATCTTAATATATATCATTTTAATTTCTTATCATTATAGCTGTTTCGGCCGATCGCCTTCCTCAAGTGATCTATTTTTAGCATGCGTTTAACTTTATAGTCTTTAATGAAATAGGTTGAAGAGGGGAGAATCTTCACTTAATTCTTGCAATAAGTTAATTTTGTATGGTTTAAATTTATTTCTACGTAATATACGTAAGACTGAAGAACGACCTATATCATGTACTTGTGCAACCCTGCCTGAGGATGTATGTGGATCTTCAAGAAAACTTTGTTTATGTCTTAAGTTTTGTTGTGATTTATAACTCGTTTCGGTCTACCTGATTGGTGTCTATCTTTTACTTCTCCGGATTCCTCAAATCGCTTTACAGTTTTTTGTACCGACGCCTTATAAATAGGAGAATGGTTTAGAGAACGGCATTTTCGAGAAGCAAATGCAGAACTTTTTCAAAACACAATTACTGTCAGTTTTAGTTAATAATGTAAATGGTGAAAAAATTTCAAAATCACAGCATTCTATAATCACATTTTATGTATTAAGGACCTTCCAGACTACTTAAAATCATAAGTGTTACATATGGTTGAACTCGTATTGAATAGTTGAACTCGTGTGAAATTCACACTGAATGCATGAAAACAATACTCAAAGACCACAAAAAATAAATGTATGGTCAGGTATAATAGGTACTTAGTCAATTGGGCCATTTTTTATCGAAGAAAATTTAACGTCAGATAGTTGGTGTAAATGTTCGGCGTTATTTAGATAAGATATTCCCCGGACGATAAATTGGTAGACAAGGTAGAATTGAATGATCTCCACGTTCACCCGATTTCAATCCTAAAGATTATGTTTATTAGGAATACTTAAAAAATTCAGTTTACAATACTTAACCAGCAAATCTTACAGAGCTAAGGAAACGAATTCTCGATGAATCTCGAATAATTTCTAGACAATCATGGAGAAATGTGGTAGACGCATTCTACCATCGATTAGGGTACTATCAACTCACAAATTGAGCACATTTTGAACACTTAACAACGTAACTATTATGTTAAAAAATGTTCTAATCTATCAATTGTTACGTTTTAATGTAGTTAAAATAGTTAGTATTAAAAAAATTATTGAAACAATTAGGCGTTGGCAGACTTCTGTTTTATGTATTTAAGACCTTCCAGACTACATACAATCATAAGTGTTATATATGGTTGAACTCGTATTGAATAGGAGATTCCAATAATAACTGAATATACAGGGTGATGTATTTAAAAAACCAAAGTTACTAATAATATAAGAGAAACTGCAAATCTGGCAACATTTCAAATACCAAATATGAAATTTCCGTATCCTAAAATAGGTGTATCTCAAATTTTGTATAATTGTGACTAGCAGTTTACGAGATAATTGGCCGTTTCCAGACTTTTGGGCCACTCTGTATATACTGATATAACGTTTAAGGTTTTAAAACCTTCATCAACGTCTGTTTTGCTTTGCAATTTTTAGAAAGCACAGATTAAAGCAGAAATCTGAATTGTGTTTCGAAACTATTTTACGGATTTATTAGCAGATGTCGCTATTGCGTCCATATCGAAGCCATTTTAGTGTTGCTTCTTAACAAAAAATATTGATTTTGCACGTTGAGAACACCTATGAATAACTGTTCTGATGAGACCTATTAGGTCGAAATACGTATCAACAGATACATAGGCGCTGTTCGCGTGAAATCAAATATTTGCTGTCTTTTTCATTTTATTCGGATCTATTCTGTACGACTACAAGAAACCAATTCGCTAAAGATTTCTGCTTAGTTGAAAAGACATGTCGTGGAATGCAAATTTCAGATTCCCCATGTCTCTTTTAAAACCTTCATCAACGTCTGTTTTGCTTTGCAATTTTTAGAAAGCACAGATTAAAGCAGAAATCTGAATTGTGTTTCGAAACTATTTTACGGATTTAATGATAAACAATATAATAACTAAAGAGTGAATAAAATGCAAAAAATGCGCATTTTAATGCACATACTTTTGTAAAAAATGCAGGATTGTGCTTATAATATGCAAATAATGTTTAAAATATGCAGATGTTGTAAATTGTTTGTTTTAATACTTAAACCATATTTAGAATATTTGTTGTTGTTGTTGTTTGTTTGTTTTTAAATGACTGCGGACACTAAATCCATTCGACAATCTTACAATTTGCACTCATTTTTTCATTAGTCATTGTTTCCTATACAATCTTATACTAAATTCCTACTAATACTAACCCTACTATTACTAGTATTGATCCCTAATATATAGTCATTTTTTCCTATTAATTGTTTTTTAGTTTTTTATATATAAGTATAATAAGTATAATAAGTGATGAGGTCCTTAGAGTTCCACAGTAAACTTTTCTGCAGCTATCTACTTAATTCAATAGCTACTTTACTGTGGACTGTCCAAGTTCCTCAATTTTTCTTTTTTTTTGTATTTTTTTAATTTTTTTTTATTTGTTTTAGTTTTTTTTTTATTTTCTTTTTATTTTTTTTATTTGTTTCTTTAATTTTTTTAATTTTTTTTTGAATTTTTTTTTTATTTTCTTTTTTTATTATTTTTTTTTTGAATTTTTTTTTGTTTTTTTTTTGTTTTTTTTTTCTTTTTTTTTCTAACAAATTACAAAGAAATACTTACTCTATATTTACAATTACAATTTGAGTTTAATATCTAAAACATGTTTATACAATAATCTATATAGAAATTCATTGTTTTCTAATGTTAATAAATAACTTAAATTAATGGGATGGTGGACATCGGTCAAAGAATATAGCGAATTTAAAGAATTATTAACCTTATTTGAAATAAGAGAACAGTCTAAAATTTTATGTTGTAGGTTACCCATCTGACCACAAGTACATTGTGGACTATCAGCTAGATTCATTTTAAACATATATGATGGTGTAAGACAGTGGTTAAATCTCATAGTTCTTGTCATATCCTTTGTCGACTCCATTTTAGCAAACCAAGATTTATCCGTAATATGGTTTCTGATTGCTCTGTAATGCTTTCCTGTATTTATATTTTCATTAATATACCTTTCTTTCCATTCCTTCTTAAGCTCTTTGAACGTGTCTGATTCTATATCTCTAGACGTACAAAGATAATCAGTTAATACTCCTTGTGTCACAGCATTTTTTGCCAATTCATCTACTATCTCATTTCCAGTGATTCCACAATGGCTTTTAATCCATGCCAACTTAACAGTTTTTCCTTGTTGCTGAAGTTCTATAATTTTATTTATTATATATAATTCACCGTAATTTACTTTTGATTTAGGATTTATAGCACTAATTTTACTTACACTGTGATGCGTCACTGTATAATATTGATCCATAGTCGATTATAGCTCTTATATTATTTTTAAATAATAACAAAGAAATATTTGGATCTGCTCCCCATCGTAAGTGTGACACGAATCGAAGAAGATTTATTCCCTTTTCTGTTTTTTTAACTATATTGTCTATATGTTCTTTCCAGAGAAGCTGTCTATCAAGAGTAATGCCCAAATATTTAACATATTTTTGCACTGGATAGAGACATTGTTTATTAAGATGTAGTTGGGTATCTCTTTTCGTTTTCTTGAAAAAATACATAATTTAGTTTTCGAATCAGAGATATTTAGTCCATGTAAATCACTCCATGTTTTAATATGATTGACTCCTTCTTCAATGGATTTGACTGCATTTTCTATTTTAATGTGTTCTTGATAAATGACTATATCATCGGCAAATTGTAAAATTCTTGTGGAGTTTAAATTTTTTACTAGATCAGCAGTGTAAATTAAATATAACAATGGGCTTAATATTCCTCCTTGAGGTAAACCATTCATCGCTAGCCTTGGACCAATTGTGTTACAATTTACCGATATATAAATTTTTCGACAGTCATATAGTTTTATTATTTTTTGACAGAAACATTCGGGAAGACCTATTTGTGTCATTTTGTTGTACAGTATAATTAAATTAACGTTGTCGTATGCTGATTCCACATCTAATAAAAGAGCTGTTACTGAAGAATTTGACGTAAACGCTAAATTTATATCTGTTACCAAGTGGCTCACTGCTTCCACAGTAGAATGATTTTTACGAAATCCAAATTGTGTTTGTGATAGTTTATTATTTTTTTCCAACCATCTTTCGAGCCTAAGTTTTATCATTCTTTCCAGTGTTTTTGTTATGCAGGAGCTTAATGAAATACCTCTATAAGATAGAATATTTAAACACTAAAGCTATTTTTTGAGGATTTAAAATTATATTTATTATAACGAATCAATATTACTACAATAAAAAAGGAGATTAAATCTTAAAATCGAAAATACACTTATATAATTTTACTTATAATAAAATAGGTATTATATTAGAAAAAACTGGAAAATTTGTATAATAAAAATGTTTACTCTGTAATTAATTATAATATTTAAAAATATAATTATAATAATTAATTAAATATCTTACCGATACAGGAGAATAAACGTTTAAATATAAACAATCCTCCGACATCATTAGAGAACTTGGTATGGGCAGTACTTGCATACATACTTTTTCATTTCTGATAGCACTTCTAACACCATCCCATGGTTGAGGTTTTTTAGGTTCCTAATAAAAAAAATATTTATAAGCTTTTATAAGTTATTTAAATAAAAATTTGTAGGTGTATGTATATATAGCCATTATTTAATTGCTAATTGCATGGTTTTAAATTGCCCTCTTCAAAATTGGGTATATTCATATGTTTTGTCAAATCTGAAAACCACTTACACGTCCGTGGGAAAATAATGAATTACGTTAGTTAAAGGTTTTTAAAGGATTAACTTTTCAAGATATCAAAATTTATTGCACTTCTCAAAAAGGGGATGCGAACGCGTTTTTGTGAATTTCATACAACCAGTCTATTTAAGGAAAACGCACCACCGCAACCCAGAAAAACTAAGCAGCACCTAAACTTGTGGCGCCGCACGTCAAAATATTCCTTTCTGTCCGACACTCCACGATATGTCGCTAAGTTTTGATTCTGTCCTCCTACCTAACATTTACAATATTTCAAGAAGAGCAAGTGTGTCTATTTTGTGCTAATAATAATTTAATCTTAGGGTGTAAATCTAGTTCGCGTGCGTAGTAGAATACTACACGTGCACCCTGGGTAATACTAAATGAATTAGCGCAATAGGCAGCCAGACAATCTAGAATCACTAGATCTCCTGGCAAGAACACATGAATATAAGATATGCCTTCAACAATTTAAATGGACCTTCTCAGGACCAAGTGACAAAAGGACTAGGACCAAGCATCCGAATCTGTCCATTTAAGTATAGAAGGTATTAGTAGAAGTAAATGAGAGTACCTTCAAAAGGTACTTATTGAAAATAATATCGATGTGGTCGCAATTCAGGAAATCTATGTAGAAAACGAAGAACAAATTCTCGCTAAAGGAAGAATTCATGGCTATGATTTATTGTGTTTCATTTACCATCCAGCTTATGAAGTGGCATTATATTATATTCGAAACCAAATAGAAAATTCACACATATGTTATATATATATATATATATATATATATATATATATATATATATATAATTATATAACATATGTTTATATATATATATCTATATCTATATATATATATATATATATATATATATATATATATATATATATATATACATATATATACATAAATAACATTCACACGGTTACTATACGAATTGGCGAAATTACTGTCAGCCATATTTATAAACCCCCGGCAGTCCTGTGGCCTCCGCATGTTATTCACGCCCACACACACCTCTCAGTTTTTGTTGGAGACTTCAACAGTCCTCATGAGGTCTGGAAATATAGGAACAGTAATCAAAATTTGCTAAACTGGAGCGAAGAGGCTGACACTTATTTAGTCTTTGGCGCTAAAGATCGGAAAATTTTTCGATCTGCAGATCGATCTGCAAATACAACCTAGACCTATGTTTTGTTTCCACAAATAAAAACAATCAACCACTGGCAGCTTTACGTACATTACTCCCAGATTTTCCATATAGCCAACATATACCAGTTGTAATAGAAGTTGGTATCAAAATACCAATAACATCATATTTTCTTCGACCTAGATGGAACTTTTAAAAAGCAGACTGGGTGACTTTTACTGAGAGATTGGACCAAAGTCTGGGACGAATAACCCCAACACTTGCAAACTACATGAGATTTGTTGGCGCAGTTACCTCTACAGCGAAGAAAAGAATACCCAGAGGATATCGTAAAGAGTATGTCCCAGGATGGGATAAAAAATGTGAGAAATTGTATCAAGAATACAACAAAAGCCAAGACCGAGAAACTGCAGACGAACTACTACACAGTTTAAATGCAGCCAGACAACAAAAATGGATGGAAACTATGGAAAAATTTGACTTTGGTAAATGAAGCAAAAAAGCATGGTCTTAACTTAGAAAACATGGTAATAGCAGACTCCCAACTAGAGACAAAGTAGCAATAGCTCTTAACAGAGTGGCCTCCCACGTTGTAGCAACCTCGAGGGTACATCAACCACCGAAGTAAAACAAGAACTAAAAATACTAAAGTCTGCATGCCAGCCTACATCTGAATACTCTAATGAGTTTATTCCAAAAGAAATTATTTCAGCAATATCAGAAATTAAGTCTAGAAAGGCATCCAGCTCCGATAAAATTCATCCAGAATTTTTACTCCACTGTGGCAAATATGCTAGGAAGTGGCTGGCGATTTCTATACAGATAAGTTAAAACCGTATTGGAGGTTCCGTATTTATTTATTTATTTATACGGAACCTCCAATTACACTAAAAACTGGGGTATTAAACCAAGGATCAGATTTAATGCCCAATATATCAAAATCAGAAATCAAAGAAGCTCTGAATAAAATTAAAAATAATCGAACCCCGGGTAAAGATGGAATAGTATCAGAAGCACTAAAAATTGGAGGGGATGTATTACTTGAATAAATTAAACAACTTTTCAATATCTGCCTTCACAGCGCCAATATTCCAACAGACTGGAACAACGCTACTATGATTCTATTACACAAGGCAGGAGACAAAGCAAATTTAGAGAATTACAGTCCGAGTAGCCTCCTCAGCCATATATATAAGTTGTTTACGCGAATACTAGTTAAAAGAATGGAAAGAAAATTAGAGACTTATCAACCAAGGGAACAGGCATGATTCCGAAAAAGTTACGGAACAAATGACCATCTACAAAGTATAAAAACCCTAATAGAGAAAGCAGTGGAATACAATAAACCTCTAGTTCTAATATTTATCGATTTTCACAAAGCCTTTGACACAGTTGAGCTAAGCAAAATATTACAGGCGCTTAAAGAATGCAGGCTAGATTATAGATATACTAAATTATTATACAAAATATACCTGCAGGCAACAACCACTGTCAAATTACATACTAACAGTAATCGCATAAAAATAGAACGGGGAGTTAGACAAGGAGACCCAATGTCACCTAAACTTTTTAATACGGTGCTAGAACATGCTTTTAAGAATTTGGATTGGATGACAAAGGGAATAAAAATAGATGGAGAATATCTAAATAACTTACGTTTCGCCGATGATATACTACTTATAATAGCTGAAGATCTAGGTATGGCAAGAAAGATGGTACAGGAACTCGTTGTGGCTACAAAAAATGTAGGTTTAAATATAAATATCTCGAAAACAAAAATCATGACCAATTTGGTACCCAACCAGAACATCAGTATTGGTGGGAAAGAAATAGAACTTGTAGATAGATATAAATACCAGGGACATGAAATTATGAATGGCAGAGATAACCAGACTCATGAACTGAAGAGAAGAGTCGGCCTTGGGTGGGCAGCATTTGGAAAACTGAAAGAAACTTTTAAAAGCGAGCTGCCCACATGCCTAAAGAGAAAGGTATTTGATCAGTGCGTCCTCCCAGTCTTGACGTACGGAGCAGAAACACTTACCTTAACAAAAGCAGCAGCTACCAAACTGAGAGTCACGCAGAGAAGAATGGAGCGGTCCATGTTAGGAATAACTCTGCGAGACAGAATAACCAACGAAGACATCAGGAGAAGAACCGGAGTGACTGACATCATCGAAAAGATAGCCAGACTAAAATGGAGATGGGCAGGACACATAGCCAGAATGACAGATGGGCGATGGACAACAAGGTTATTGGAATGGAGGCCAGGGGAAGACAAGAGAAGCGTCGGTCGACCACCTACAAGATGGACTCACGATTTAAGAAGAATCAATAAAAAATGGATAATAGCGGCCCAAGATAGACGGGGTTGGAAACATGAGGAAGAGGCCTATGTTCAGCAGTGGACTCTTGAGGCTGGATGATGATGATGTTAAAACCAGGAGAAATCCCCTATTTACTAAAAGAAGCCTCCATTACAGCCATATTAAAACCAGGTAAGGCAAATGATCAATCCCAAAACTATTGACCGATTGCACCACTGAGCTGTGTCCATAAACTGTTGGAACGCTTAATCTACAACAGAATTAGTAGAAACATATTTGAATTGATACCTATTGAGCAAGCAGAGTTCAGACCTAACCACGGCTGCACAGATCAGATTTTTCCCCAACAACACATATTGAAGCAAGTTTTTAAAGAAAGAAAAATTTTTATTAAAAATCCTTTGTAAAAGGTATATATTAATTTTTGCTATTTGTTTAAGTATGTTAAGTTCTTTTTCATAGTTTGAGTCTGAGAGTGGGGTGACATACGCAACTATGAAAAGCTGCGTATTTATGCGATATGAGGTGGTTGGATGCAAATGGAACTATGTGGTCAGTCTGTGTAGGTTTCCTATAGATACTGAAGTAGAAGTGGTCATTTAATCTGGTAATGGTGGGATCAAGAAAACTAATTGACATGGATGATTCTAGTTCCATGGTGAACTTGATTTTGGGGTGAATTTGGTTGATTTCGGAAAGTAAAAGTTCAGCTGAATTGGAATTACCTGAAATGAAGACTAAACAGTCGTCAACATAGCGAAACCAGTGGAGTATTTCAGAGTTTTTCATGATCTGTGTGGATTCTAAATGATCCATAAATACATTAGCTAATAGAGGAGGGAGACAGCTACCCATGGCTAAACCATCAGGTTGTCTATAGTATTTGTTGTTAAAAACAAAGAAATCTTGATCTAAACAAAGTTTTAGTAGTTGGATAATGGAGTTGTTGGTGGATAAGGTGATGGAATTGGCTAAGAGAAGAGAATGAACCAGATTAATTGTTTCTTGTTTAGGGACAGACGTGAATAGATTGCTAACATCAAATGTAAGCATAGTAATGTTGGGGTGAAGGTTAATGTGGTGTAAATTGTTGACTAGATGACTAGTGTTTTTGACTGAAAATCGAGGGGTGAAGTTCGTCATGTTTTTGATAAGATTTAATATAAATTTTAAAAGGATGGAAACTGGAGTGTTAATAAAACTAACAACTGGACGAATGGAAATGCCCTCTTTGTGTATCTTAGGTAAACCGTACAGTCTGGGTATTAGAAGGTTGCTTGGGATTTTATAATATGGTGCAAAATGTTCTGAGAAGAAGTCTATGAAATGTTTAATATTGTCTTTTAATTTTTTTATGAACTTTTTGGAAGGGTCTGTTGCAAGTAAAGTGAAGTTATTGTTGTTGAGGAAAGTTGAGACTTTATTATTATAAGATGTTTGATCCAAGATCACTAGACAGTTACCTTTATCAGCTTTACTGATGATTAAGTTATGAGATTTGATTTTGTTCTTAATGGAATTGAGAGTCTTGAGGTAATCGTTGCGTTTGTTTTGAGAAAGGTTGTGAAAATTATGAGTTGAATGAAAGTTTTGAATGTTGGAAGGAAAGTTAGAAGATAATGGTGTGTTGATATTAAGTAAAGTTGAAGAATTGGAAGAATATTTGTTTTTGAATCTATTTATAGTATTGAAGCAGGAGTTTCTGATGGAAGTTTTTTGATTTAATGCAACTGGAAGGTTTTGGATAATAAAATCTAGCTCAATGGAGAGACTCTGAAGGTCTTTTTCGGAAACCTTGCGAGGAATGGAGTATTTGAGACCTAGATTTAGTAAATGAAGTTCATTATTGTCGAAGATAACTGACGAGAGATTTTTTAATCTATACCTTTTTTTTAATATATACCTTTTACAAAGGATTTTTAATAAATTTTTTAATATATGGTATACAGCCAACTACAGGAACGTAGATTCCTTGTGGAAAAAAAATCCGTTGCTTTCATTAACCTATCAGCTGCATATGATACTGTCTAGAGACAAGAACTAATCTGAAAACTAATCCAAACTAATAAACAACAAAATATCTTGGAGTGCCTCTGGACTGAACATTAAGTTTTAAAGAACATCTACACAGAAAGGCAGCAAAACTGAAAACGCGAAGTAACTCCAAAAGCTATGTTGCACCACATGGGGGATTTCCGTACTCAGATCATCCGCCCTCAGACTTATATACTCGTCGGCTGAACATGGTTACCCGGTATGGCTCAAAAGCAAACACACGAAGATTATTGACACCCGATTAAACCAGACAACTCTAAATTTAAAAATTACTTTTTGTTTGTAAAATTCTTCTTTATTAACCATAATAATAATAAACTTAGTACCTGAAATCTGTTCTTCCCAATAGGTGGGGCTGCATATGGAATTTCCTGGAAAGCATAGTAATTTTTGCCATTTTCACTGCGAAGAATGTGACCTCGAATTTTTCCATCTGGTAGTTGGACGATACAGTCAATATTTTCCTGCATAAATATCAATATTATGTAAATATATGTGTAATTAACTACAAATATTTTAACGCTTTAACAACTTATACTATAAATAAGATATAAGAAATTATAAAATTACCGTTTTAAAATAAGCAAATCATAAATCAGCAGCGTAAAGTGAATACAATTACATTAGTAAAATTCTATTTTAAAAGCGTGTATTCAAATCATGTTTTTGCAAAGCATGAAATACAGGGCGAACATTATTATATTAATAATAATTGTATTTAAGCTTTCAATTTCGGCTTCAGTGTTTGCAAGTTTTCTAGACATGAATAAGCTATGTAAGTTCCAGGTAGCAATGCGTACTATCCTGTCATATATTTGGATTCTCTGTCCACTTCCTTGGATTTCAATAGTAATTGAAGAGGAGATTTTTCGCACCTACTCCCTCATTTAAGGGGGCCCCTAACTCTTTTTTAGATTTGTAGAAAATATAATGGGGTGGTTTTCCCGTTGCCTTTACCATCGCAGTACCACAACCATTTCAACTCTTTCAGTCATGCTTGTTGTATTCCAGTTTAAGCCAATTCAGGATCATTTCCTTTGCTTCTTGAGCTGGTTCTGATGATCGCTGCTGCCCTTCACCAGGAAGGGATAGAAAATAGGTAACTAGATAGGGCAAAGGGAAGCACAGGGTCGCTTCCCTGAGGATTCCTATTCTATACTAGGATCGTAAAAAAGTATCTACCCGCTACTCCCAGCAAAAATTTGTTACTATTTCCTATGGGAGATGGCAAAGACTCAAGGACACTGTGTGGTCAAGGACAAGTGCCTTAAAAAATATTTTTTGTCATCTGAAGTAATGGAGCCTGAAGTATACGTGGTGTCCAACAGAGGATTTAACATAAGTTCAGATAAGTACATGTATAATCTTGAAAATATTTTCGTTTATATTGAAAGGATAAATAATATCGATCTTCATCGAAACTAGTAATTTCTAATATACTGCAAGTAAGGGAAATTGGTAGGAATAGAATTTAGGTGGCAGTAGCTTTTATACATGATGCAAATAGTCTTAGAAATAATAGTAAACTAGAAATAGTTTAATTCGGTATATTGATACTCAATGTGATACTGTATATTTACAGGAAAATATTCAATCTCCATCACGTATCTTAAATATTAAACAAATGCATAGAAAAGTTGAACACAATGGTACAATGTGTATGTTGCAAAATAAACTGTTATTGTAGCTTTTGAAAGTAATATACTGCCTTAGTATGTTTTTATAAATTGGGTTTTTTGTCCATTAGGACAATTTGTAGGTAGGTTTACTCAGTGTTATAGATGTGTGAGATACGACCACATTTCAAAACAGTTCTCAAAGTCTATATGTATTCATTGTGGCGCTAATAAAGATTAACATCATTCATGCGAAAATTCAGACATTAGTTGCATTCATTGCAAGAGTAATTAACATGTTTCGGCTTCAAAAAATTGTCGTACTTACCAAAAACAACAACAAATTACAAATATTATGATTAAAAATAAGATTAATTTTATAGATGCCAAGGAAAATAATGAAAACTCCTACTCAGAGGCTCAAGGCAAAAAAAAGTATGGCATCAACAGAAAATGCCTAAAGAATGGAATGAAAGTGTTATAATTCCCATATATAAGAAAGGAAACAAAGAACAATTCCGAAACTATACAGGCATATCGCTTATTAGCACATTATATAAAGTGCTATGAATTATCTTACTAAAGAGACTCAGTAGAAGATCAGTAGGCCGACCGAAAAAAAGATGGAAGGATAATGTTGAAGCCGATTTATCTAGAATTGGGATACAACAATGGGAAATAGAAGCGCAAGATCCTACAAGATGGAGGGCGATAGTGGATGCAGCGAAGACTCACCCTGAGGTGTAACGCCAGTGAAGAAGAAGAAGAAGTACTTAACTTTGTGCTAACTAATAGGCCCAACACCATTCAGGATTACGATGATAAAAAATATGATATGCTTATAAAACTTCCAAATATAACAAACAATACATTGTTGATACACACTTTATACAAGACATACTGGATATTTTCAATGATATTCTTTTTAAAGATGCATGAATTGATATATTAACAACTGTTATTGTCATAATAATCCTTAAACCAAATAGTGTCCTTAAATATTCCACTCTTGATTAAGAGTATTTTCTTTTATGCAATGAAAAAGACGATAGTGAATTAGAAGAGGAAACAGTAGAAAAATATTCGAATTAAAACCGTTATAACTCAACTCTCGTTGAGGTCTGTTTGTTGTCAAAAAAAACACTACTGATTGTTTATATTTAAAAGATATGTGTTATAAAAATATTTTTATTAATTAAATATTTTTCTCTAATTTATCAATTTAATTTGATATAGTAATTGTAATCTTATTTTTTCTAATTTGAATTTGTAACATTTTATGTCGGATTACAAAGCTCATTTTACGCGTGTCAAAACAATTCCTAATATTTGAAAACAATGTGGTGAACTTTGACTTTTTCGATTAATTTTTGAGTTCTTATGGAGACATGTATGTTGTGTTTTTCCCGTAATTATTTAATAGCACAATTTGTAAGCAATAATACATTTTTAAACTTATCAATAACGTATTTTTCTAATTTTAGTAGAAAAGATGTTTAATGTCTTCCGTCAAGATTATGCTGTACCGTTCGAGTCAACTATTCAAATGTACTATTCGGGTCAATGTGACCCAACTATGGTTTACGGTCCTTAACTAAACAAAAATTATGTTACTAATGTAAATTAAACTTTCTATCTATCTAATCAGCCTTAAACGGCCAGTTTTGGGCATAGGCTTCCCCTGTTAATCTCCATTGGTCTCTATCCTGGGCATCCAGTCCTTTCCTGCCGTTCTCTTAAGATCATCAGTCCATCTCATCTGTGGTCTTCCTCTTTTTCTTTTATTTTCCCCTGGTCTCCAATGTAGAATTCGCTTATTCCATCTTTCACCTTTTTGCCGGAGAGTGGGACCGGCGAAGTTCCATTTAAGTTTTGCAACCTGTCTTGATACATCGTTCACCTTTGTTTTTTCTCTGATCCATGAGTTTCTTTTCCTGTCTTTAAGACCGATACCCAGCATCTGTCTTTTCATTGCTCTTTGTGTTTTGGATATCCTGTCGATGTTCTCCTTTGTGAAAGTCCATGTTTGTCAGCCATATGTGATAACTAGTAAAATGCACTGGTTGAATACTTTCGTTCGCATATATTGAGGGAACTTTTTATTTTTTAGAATATATGATAGTTTACCAAATGAGGCCCATGCTAGTCTAGTTTTTTTTTTATTTCTTCTGTTTGATTGTCCCTGTTCAGCCTTATTATCTGTCCTAGGTATATGTATTCTGCCACCTGCTCTAATTTATTCTGTTTGACTACTATTTCTAATTGGTCTTCTTGGTTTGTCATAGTCTTGGTTTTACTATAGTTCATCTCTAGACCTACCTCTGTCGCTTTTCTATCTAGTTCCTCAACCATCTTCTGTAACTCTTCCTTCTTATCTGTTATCAGGACTATATCGTCTGCATATCTCAAGTGGTTCAAGAGCTCTCCATTTATTCTTATTCCGTATGTATCCCATTCTAATTTTTTAAATATGTCTTCCATAGCCTGATTGAACAATTTTGGCGATATTGTATCTTCCTGCCTGATTCCTCTTTCGAATTTTATTGGTTCTGTAGCGTTTTCGTTCGTCAATTTTAAAACAATTGTTATATTTTGCTTTAAAATATTATACCAACAGTCTAAATAATAACAAACAGCCGCAGTCGTTTAAATTTGAAATATCAAACTTCTTTGTTAAAAAGACTTACAATATTTTGCTGACCAGAATTTTAACTATCAAGCAACAGCTACAATATTTTATATAATAAACAATAGGTTTCATTATTTAATAATATAATTTTTTGTCGGCATTGGTGATACCAACATATGAGTAATCGCAAAACATATTATATGTTACCTTTTCGGTACACTATCTGTGATAAAAGGAATTTAAAAATTTCTTTAATCAATTACCGAACTGACAACACAAAAAATTCACAGTTTTAAATAATACACTTATTACACAATATTTTACCATTAAAGATAAAGCCTCTAGTTTGGTGCAGTTTTATTTATTTAAATGAATATTTAAATGAAATTTTAAAATAAGGGTAATAATAAATGTTTCATCTTTTATCAAAATCTGGACAATTAATTCCAGAGTGAAGAAGTCGTCTGCTGGGAAAAAATGTACAAAATATTTTACTTTTACATTGTAATTATGACCTCTGAGCACGTGTCAAATGTGTTTGTTTTAATGAATATTTTGATTCGGTATGTATTTTTATGGTATTGTTCGTAATGCGCATAAGTCCAGTTTTTCAAATTTTTATTACATATTGTTCACGCCTCTATCTAATTTAAGTTTATTTTATGCATTTTACAATCCGGCAACATAGTAGCGTAGGAAGATATATTATGCCATATGTGAAGATAGGGCGAGCCCCTTAAAGTACTCCAAGGGCGGCAGCATCATTCAAATATGAGAAGTCGAGGCCGGTGGACACCAGCGAGCGAAACAATACGTATTAGCGTTATATTTATGTATTGTTAATTCAATAAAGTCAGTTTTTTCACACGGAGTTTGATTATTTACCAGCGGCACACGCGAAGTGCATATCAAGTTTCATCCACATATTTTTGTGCGCCTTATAGAGTCTTTAAGCATATACCCGAACTACTATATTCGCTAAAACGACACTCAATCCTAACTGCAAGACGCAAGAGTCTCGCAGGCTTAGTCTTGTTCTTGCTTAAGTTTTACAAGGTCAGTCTTGGTCTTGGTCTTGCTAAAATTAGGCGGTCTTGGTCTTGGTCTTGGTCTTGCAAAAACGCAAGAACAAGACCAAGACTGCAAGACCAAGACCGATTTTGGGCAACACTAGTTTGAAGGAACAGCGGCCTCTAAAGCAACTAATTGCTCGTCGACGGTAACATTTTCAAAAAATGTTAAAAAAATGGTTAAATGGTTAAAAAAATTTGGTAGATTTTCTACTAACAGAAAATATGTCTACACTTTTTACAATTTTCTCCGTGCAAAAGTGTTGTAACTTTAAAATTCTAATACTAAATGTGTAGTGATTAACAATTTTCTCCGTGCAAAAGTGTTGTAACTTTGAAATTCCTAATTTTTTTAGCATTAATATTATTTTATTTAAATTTCTATTTTTTGTTAATATAATATAGGCTGAAAAGCATGCAAAATCATAATTAAATGTTAATTTTTCTTAAAACTTGTCTATTATTTCACCGATATTAGCACGAAAATAATCAAAATCGTCTTTATCACGAAACTTACTTATTCTGACTTACTGCAGTCTTGCACTTAGGGTGCGATATCTAGGACACATAATGCGGCATTGGGAATTTAAGCAGCTCCAGGTAATATTAGAAGGCAATATTGAAGGTAGAAGAGGCATAGGACGAAAAAAAAGTCTTGGCTACGAAACATCAGAGATTGGACCCACACAAGAGAAAATGAATTAATTCATTAAGCCCAGCACAGAGAGAAATTTGCCACATTGATCGCCAACCTCAAGAGAGAAGGCACTTATGAGGGGGAGCATGCAGGTTAAAAGTATGTTCGCAGTCTGGTCAAAGGAAGGTCTATCTGAATGTAATGTAGGGGTGAGACAGGGATGTTAACTTTTTTGCTCTTTAAGTTAGTGGTTTTTGTGATAAAAAATATTAAAGATACATTATTTTAACAAAAACAGGTACACGTGTTAATAACTCAACAGTTTTCAAGATAATCGCATTTTACAAATCAACTATATAATTCTGATTTAGCGCAATTACTCCAGGCAACGAAAGAAAATTAGACCAAAACATCAACACTTAAATTTTTATACATAAATATTGACAAACATGAAAGTTATAGCGAAAAATAAAATTTTAAATTTCCATTTTAACACCCTGTATCTTGTTTAATATCAACATTTCATTAAAGCAATTTGAATTAAATCATAATATTTTAAAGTGTAAAATCCGCGGTTTCTTTTTGTACAATTACTGAAGTACCACCCTGTATATAGCGGTAATGATGTACGATATGCTGACAAGTATCTCTCAAAAAATCTTACATAAGAATTGCTTGGAAAATTAAAAAAACCAAGAAGGGAAATTAGGTGGAAATATAGTACAGTTGTTTCATACATTATATACTAACCTTATATACATATAATGCTACGATCACCCACAAAACACAAAAGAGTTTAAGCCACATAATAAGTCAGTATGATTCGTTTTTCCAAAAAAAATTTCTAGTTTTTTTTGGATAAACGATAAGTTCGTTGCGCTATAGATATCAACACCGTTTTAAGCACGGTTAAATATTAACTATTCGAGGTTATATTTTGCCTTGAAAAGTTTATCTGTTTTTGAATATTCCATGCTAAAATAAATATTGATAGTATATTTTTGAAGCAATTAATCGAATTTATTAACTGAAACAGCTCTGTTGTCTTCTGCAAATCTAGTTAATTAAAATTTATTTAGAACTGAGTACCTAGACAGTTATTCTTTTAATGGGGGTTGATTACTGTCTGAATTAGATGTTTCTTTTGACCAGTTAGTAAAGTTTATGAATATATCTGGATCTCAAAGTAAGATAAAACTTTTTTGTGTTCTCTTATCACCCGGGTGGAAGGATGTTCTCAACCGCGAAACGGCGCGATCCAATGCTATATCCCAGGGGTCACTAAATGGCGGTCCGCGGTCCGCATCCGGACTGTGAGCTTGTTTTTTGCGGACCGCCGTTAAATTCAAAATATAGTAATAAAATTATAGTGTAAAATTATAATCAAATTTAAATATCTAAATATCTTTACATTTTTAAAATGCAAAGTACTAATACTAAAGTGAAGTCGTTTTACCCTGTCGTATTTCGGATTAACGAGCGAAAAATAATTTATGACTCTAGTTACAGTCACTCTGTTATGCTTTTCTACCTGCTTTGTGGTACCGAACCTCCTACTGGTCGGCTGTAGTACTTGAGGACAAATCAGCGCTACCAAAACAATTTTTTTATAAATCGTGAAAAAACGCAAATTAAATGCTTTGTGATGATAATTTATTGAAAAACTTTTATAATTTTATTTCAAATAAAATTGTCTCGAGGAGTGCATCCATTCCTTGCGGTCGCATAACTGGATAATTTTAATTGTTATATTTGCAAAAATAGTAAACAGTCTGCGAATTCGAGGCTCTCGGTTGACCGGACTTCGGCCAATGACCGACGCGCCCTGCCACCGAGGCCCCGCCCCCTCGTGTATATATTCAGAGAGGTCCGAAAAATCTCGCTAGTATTCAACAATCGCTGGTTTTCAATAGTGACAATGGATAACGTACAAGAAAACGATAGAACACCTAAATATAAGTTTTTATCTCCGAGTCAGCGTCGAATTGTGTTGAAAGTGGAAAATTATTTTACTTTTTTACCGGTTTTACCAACCGCACCTTTCTCTTCGAAACGTAACCCCTGCGGTTGGAGAGAGATGACTGAATTAAAAAAAAATGCAAAAAAAGCCATTTTTAACGTTTTTGAGGGCAATTTTTTAATGGTATACGTTGGACATTAAATTAAAAAAAAAAAAAGAGATGAAAGCTTAAAACAAGTAATTTCAGAATGCGCAATTATATTCTAATTTATATGGCATAAGACAGATTAAAAAATCCATTAGCAAATTGATATACCTTTGTGTTTCGGGATATTTAGCCGTCATGAACGTTTGAACCTTAACGTTCTAAACACATTGTTTATTTTCTCAAAAGCTGAATCTTTTTTTTAATCGAAAGAATATGATGCTAAAATATTACAGTAAAAAATTCACCCAAAGTTTACCACGGAAACCTGCTTATCATAAGCAAAAGAATAAATTGGTTTCAAATAAAAAAAATTTTTGTAAAAAAATTGTTAAAAAGTATCAGGTTTCCGTAGTCAACTTTGGGTAGACTAAGGGGAGCATAACGATATGATCCCTAAATTCAATACTGAAAGCAAAAATGCGTTGAAAAAAGAATGGCTAAACTGTGTCTCTATGAGACAGTTATCAGACCCACGGTGATGTATGCAAGAGTAGGAAGAAAAGAAAGAAGAAATCATAAAGCCAGATTAATTGATCAACTGTGAAGTATTACTCTTATTTTTTAACCCCGATATCAAATTAAATAACAGAACAATACGAAATATCAAATTAAAATAAAAATATATCACAATAGAAATAATAATTTTTAAATACCTACATTAATTCCGTGAATTGACACTAATATCGCCGATAACAATACCAAAATTGGCCACATTTTTAAAATTAGAATACAAGGTGTTTTCATATCTGTCATTATATTGACTGCATTGTAGTTTGAATAAATTTAATGAATGTTCGAATGTAAATTAACCAGTCTACCTTAATAATTAGATGCGATTATCTAGTCAATCCACATTATTACGTGTTTTCAGAGAAACAATTTCAGTTGGAATTTACATCTCGTCATCTCATAGTAAACTGTACTAACCACAGTTCCAATGTTACATCAAAGAATATAGACGCTATATATATAGCGTCTATATTCTTTGGTTACATCTATTTATGAGAACTATTCATCAGAATGTTCCATTAACGGAATTTTATACCAAACAAGTCTGGGGATATTTGTATAAAATAATAACATTAATAAAAATGAATAAAAATGAAAAACGACAGATAATAAAGTGCTTAGTTCATTAAATCAGAAAAAGAAACGGAAAAGGAGAAAACCACAGAATAAAAATATGAGTGAGTATAAATATGATTAGACAGACAAAAGAAACTATATTTAATTGGCAACATAAACAATCAATGAGACGGCTATTTTAAAAATGGCAACATGAAATGTAAAAGACATAAACGAGAAAGAAATAGAATTGAGGAATAAATAAAGGATAAGAAGATTAAAGTAGTATAGTCCATTTCCATCATATTGATAGCACATTATGTATGCAAATCCCTAAATTGTTGATACGGGTGACTCAATGAAAAATAGATATTTGTCAACAAGTTTACAGAAGTATATAGGAAAACAATTTTAAATTGAGTATGACCACCAGGTATAAAGGTTAAAGCAGAATAGAATACAATAGTTTTGAGGGTTACCAATCCCTAAATAAAGTTGCCAATGTCGGAGTGATGGAGATTAACAGGTACTAATGAATTTGCAAGAAATTTCAGATGTTTATTGGTGATAGAAATTGATATTTTATTGGTTATATATAAAATAATTTGTGGCCGTAACAGGGGCCGATTTGGAAAAAATGAATATTATTTTAATCAAATTCCATTTCAGATTCACTGCTTTCTTCAGAATCTAAGGTATCTTCAACTCCAATGTTAATTAGTACCGGTTACAGTATTGCATCAGTCATATTATCCAAATTCCACATTTTATTTTCTTCTTTGTGGGCATGACTAACAGCATTTTTTCAATTTTCTGGAGTTACTTTTGATAAGAAATGTTCTGATCACAGTGATCACAGTGGTATGGGGGTAAACGTAAAGTAATTACATCACGGTTTTATGCCATTTCATCAATTATATATTTTTTATAAGCTGCTTTATCTTGCCTTACAATAGGTAATAATTCCTTTTTTATCGAATTCTCCTTGTACTCAATTGCGTGTTTATCCAACCATTCGATTATCTCTCCTTTTTTCCATGCCGTTGTTGGCAATTTTTCTGCTAGTCTTGAATGATAACTAGCATTATTTATGACTATGACAGAATTGTTTGGAATTAATCCAACATTTGCTTAAAATATTCTTCAAAAACGTCAGCAGTCATTTCCTCGTGGTAATCTTTGGTTGATTTTGAGGCAAAACTTAATAATCCACCATTGACAAAACCGTATTCGTTTCCAATATGGGTTATTATGAGTCTGCGTCCTTTTCCAACGGGAATATTGTGTATTCCAGTAGATACACCTTCAATGAATGCCTGACAGGAACTTTTCACATTTGTATCAACCCATAGATATGGTACAGTATGACCTTCATTTGGCCAAGTCTCGTCCAAATAAAAAATTGTTTTCCCTTCTTCTCGGTACTTTTTAATAGTTCTTAGATAATCTCGTCTCTAACATACAATGTAATCTTTTTCAATTAAAACGGATTTTCTTCTATTCTTTTGCCAACGAAATCCCATCTCTCTTAATAGTCACCATAATTTCTTGTTGCTTATGATTGGTAACTCTTCGTTTTTTCCAATTAATGTTTGGATTTTGTCCATTGTTGGAAATTCTTTGTTAAAATAAAATGAGTGGAAGCTGCGTCTTATCATGTTTTCATGTATTTCTTCAATTTCCAAGGGTTTGCTCTCTCCACTCCTCTTGGGAGATGAAACAGTTCGTCCTTTTCTTTCTTTTAGGAATCTATAAATTGTTGCTTCTCCAACCCCTGTCATATTTGAACACATGTTAACGATTTCAGGAACATTACTTAAAGCCGCGTTTTCACGATGCCAATTGGCGAGACAATTGTCAGAAGACAATTGACTGGCATGAAATTATTGTCTTCGTGTAAACACTTCAGGCCAATTGCCTTGCCAACTGCCCTCACAATTGGCCCAAAATTCAGTTGTCTCCGGGAGTAGACTGAGGACAATGAGCTGCGCCCAGTTAGCCCCTCCACCACTCGAAATCTCAATTGTCGCGACAATTGGTGCCGTGTGAACGGTGTAGGCCAGTAGTGCTGCCAGTAGTAATTTGTGTTATTTGGGTTAAATTTAATTTTCGTACAATGAACATAACCTATAGATATGTTTGACGTTAAATGTAAGTTTAATATAAGTCAGTGTTGACATATACTCAATTATTTCACACTCTCATATATAAAATTATGGGCAAGATTTATATATATGAAATGAAAATTTAAAATTGAAAAATACATATATAATTAAACAAAAACGTGAAAAATACATATATAATTAAAAGCCTTAAAATTATACCTATAAATATTATAAAATCAAATTATATCTTACATTTAAAATACTTATATAATAAAAACAATTAAAATTATGCTTAAGGTAAAAATTGATAGTTTAGAAACTTTAAAAACTACAGAATAAAGTAAAGTTAAATGAAAATAAAAAATTAGGTTAAACATAAGAATACACTAAATACTTAGCTATATTTAGAGTAAAAAATACTATTTTATGAATGCTTTTTAATTTGAATTCAAAAATTGTGGCTTTTCATAACAAAACATTATATAAAAATTAATGGGAAAATCCCAGTAGTTGGCTGTATACCATCGTTTAAAAAAACTTATACAGAAGTAAAACACTTCACATTTACCTAAGTATATACCTAAATACAAGTGTGAAGCATTTTACTTCTGTATAAGTTTTTTAAAACATTATATACAATTTCGTCCAAGTATATTTCTATTTTAAAAACTCCTACACTTTATACAAAAAAATGTGGCAACACTGTGACGCACCAACATATAGTTGTCATGTTTTAGCTGTCTACTGCCATGGCAATAGTTGGCCTCGTGTAAACATCTTCTCGTTCAACTGGACTGGCCTCCGACAATCCGAAACCACGTGATGACAATTGTCCAATGACAATTGTCTCGCCAATTGTCATCGTGAAAACGCTGCTTAAAGGGCGTTGATGTACAACTGCATCGTGTACATTTAATATTATATTTTTCTCTCTTAGACTGAAGGCACCTTTAAAACTACACTTAACCGGATAAAACCTGTTGTCGACGTCATTTTTAAATGCAAATAACAAAATATCGACACCAAAAACGTAGGTAGGTAAGACATGAACAATGTACATCTACAAACTAAATGGAAGATGCAAACAATTTCTAATTTATATTAGTGGCATAAGCTGTAATGTGGCATAAAAAGTACTTAAACTATCATTAAGGAAGCCTTATCACTAATTCCAGGTAATCGTTCAAAGAAGTTATTCTTTTTGTGTCAGGCGATAACTTGTATAGAAAACAATAACCACCTTTAAATTACTGTTTACATTAATTTATTTCGTGAAACATTGAATTCTCTCGTTAATCACTCGTGTATAATTAACAATAATCGTGTGGCATATATACCGACGTTTTCCACGCACAAAAAAGGTATAGTGAGATTAGTGGACACTTATTTTACAAAAGATTTTTTAAAAAATAATAAATTGTTGACGGCATCTTAAAATATTAATTTTTTTTATTTATTTCAAAACAAGTATAGGGTGACGCCTATGTTTTTTTGACCTGTTGAGGATTTGCATACATAATGTGCTATCAATATGATGGAAAAGGACTATAGCTATAACAAAAATAAAAAGAAAATAAAGAGGAACCACAAGATTGAAAAACAGAAATTTACTAATATATAATGGAGTAGAAGAAAAAGAGAGCTCAGATGGGAGTAGCATGTATGACGAAGAAAAATATCATTAATAAAGTAAAGAATTGGATGTATTTTAATGAGCGTATACTTAAAGTCAATATAGAGATGCGATTGCACAAAAGAAGCAAATAAAAACTATATAATGTAACAAGAAAAAAACTAAAAGAACGAATTCTAAGACAAACTGCAAGAAGTAATAAATGACTGGCAGCGAAAATAGTAATCACAAGAAGGCTAGAGTGATTGACTGATGATTGGAATGAGCAATTATTGACTATACTGTAGTAAACCAAAAAAAGGAGCTGCATAAGAGACGTAAGTGTGAGAAGAAGCTATGAAATAGGCAGTGATCACAAGATACTGGAAACTACATTTAACAGCAAAAAAAAAACAATTTGAAGCACAATGAATAAGAAACACAAGGAAATAATTAAAATACATATACTTAAGGAATAAACAATGAAAATTAGATACATTGAGAAATTAGAGAAGAAAATAGACAAAAATAATTAAGAAAATTTGGAAATACGATGATAAATAAAGCAAAATTAACATGTAGGACAACAAGAAATATTAGAAAAGATAAACGGAATATGGTGGAAAAAAGAGATAAAAATTGAAACAAAAGAAAAGAAGAAACTGTAGAAAGAATATATACAAGATAAAAAGCAACAAAAGATAATAAGAGTTCAAGGAACAGCCAAAAATGGGAAAAAGGAAAGCTGGAACAAATTCGGAAAAAAACTGGAAGAAAACGTCAAATCAAATGTAAAATTGTTTTAAAGAATACTAAAAAATCTGCAAAGAAACAAAGAAATAAGGCTAAAACAAAAAGTGACCAAAAACGGAACAATATTAACTGAGAACAAAGATATAATGAAAATAAGGAGGGAATATTTCGAACAATTTTTAGATGGAGGGCAAAGAAAAACTAAAGAAAATGAAAACAAACGTAATTGGTGAATCAGGG